GAGCGAGTCAAAAGGACACGGGGATCCTGGCTGCTATCAATGCCGAAGGACTGGTGGGAGAGGCTAGCCCCCAGCCCTGCCCTTTCAGCGTGAGTCCCTGCCCCTTCTGGGAGCACGGAGCCAGCCCCAACCCATTGCCAAGTGGCCCAGCAATTCTGTCCCCACTGCACTCCGGTCCTCTGCATAGTCTCTCCATGTCCACTACTCTTACAAACTGCAGAACCAACACTGGCATTTCTACCCCGGGTATGTCTACGCGGCACGGCTAAAGTCTAATTAATCTACCAGCGTGAGTCCCTGCCCCTTCTGGGAGCACGGAGCCAGCCCCAACCCATTGCCAAGTGGCCCAGCAATTCTGTCCCCACTGCACTCCGGTCCTCTGCATAGTCTCTCCATGTCCACTACTCTTACAAACTGCAGAACCAACACTGGCATTTCTACCCCGGGTATGTCTACGCGGCACGGCTAAAGTCTAATTAATCTACGCAACTTGAGCTGCATCAATTGCGTAGCTTTAGTCGAAATAGCTGAATTTGGCTTTTGGCGCTGTCTACACTGCAGGAAGTCGAAGGAAGCGCTCTCTTCCTTCGACTTCCCTTACTCCTCGTGAAATGAGGGTTACCATGAGTCAGAGTAACATTATTTTTACTCTAATTTTTACATTAATGCCAGCTTGACATTATTTTTTAAAAAAGGTTTGTAGTGTAGATGTGCGCTATGTTATTCTGAAATAGCACTGTTATGTAGATGTATCCCGTGATTGCAGCTCAATGTGTTTTACATGAACATTTTCTTTACATTTTAAAGGATGTCATTCAAGCCATTAAGGAAACTGCTTTTGTTACATCTGAGTATCCTGTGATCCTCTCATTTGAAAATCACTGCAGGTATAAAAATCTTCATTTTTTAATAGTGCAATGAAAGAGTAATTATACTGATGATAAAATACATATTAGTTCAGATTTACTTCAAAATTTTGTGACTGGATTATGCAGATAAAATAGATTAGATGGTACTATAAACTTGATTCAGAGATGTTTGTTTTAACACACAGGTTAAGTTTCTAGTTTGTTTTAATAATGCTGTGATACAACTGTGAATTACATGAGAAGTTTACATTAGCTGGCTATTTAAATCATCACATTAGTTTGATCTAAATAAATTCATGCTTTTCCATTATATTAGTTCAGTTTTTATAAACAATTAAAAGTACTATAAGCTTTGCAATTATATGAAATATTTGTATTAATTCTGTATCAACATTTTTGGTTGATGAATGATGGCTTTGGTGGGGGTTTTTTTGTTGGGGTTTTTTGAGAGCGAAAGAATCTTCAAAAATTAACTAATGTCACTTTTTCCCAGCAAATACCAACAGTACAAGATGTCAAAATACTGCGAAGATTATTTTGGAGATCTCCTTTTGAAGCAACCTCTAGAAACACATCCAGTATGTCTCCTTAAAAATTGTGTTTCCATCATGTATTCATTTTATTTTAGAGGTATAATAACTTGGGGTCACATCACCAATAGGAGTGAAACTTATGTATACCTGGGCCTGTGTTTTCAAACCTCACTGTTGATTGGAGTTTCTCAAGGTATGTCTACACTACCCTCCTATTTTGAAATAGGAGGGTAATGTAGGCATACCGCAATTGCAAATGAAGCCCGGGAAATTCAAATCCCGGGCTTCATTTGCAATTGCGGTATGCCTACATTACCCCGCTAGTTCGAACTAGCGGGGTAATGTAGGCATACCGCAATTGCAAATGAAGCCCGGGAAATTCAAATCCCGGGCTTCATTTGCAATTGCGGTATGCCTACATTACCCCGCTAGTTCGAACTAGCGGGGTAATGTAGGCATACCGCAATTGCAAATGAAGCCCGGGAAATTCAAATCCCGGGCTTCATTTGCAATTGCGGTATGCCTACATTACCCCGCTAGTTCGAACTAGCGGGGTAGTGTAGACATACCCTCAGTTTGGGGATGTCCAAATTGTCCTTAACTGGCTTATTTGATTTCTTCTGCACAGGGCTTGGAGAACCATGTCTTTTTCTTGAGTGGAACAGGGCAGCCTGCCATATAAAACAGACCAAGTGTAGTGCCTGAGCTTGTGACCAGTGATTTTCATTACCTCACCTACGTTGTCTCTCTGTAATTACTTGTCATTAGTTCTAATGAATGCTTATACTGTATTATACTTTTCAGCTACTAAGTGGCACCGTGTGCAAAAATCTTATTTTAACAGATCTCAGCCATATCTAGTAGAGGATTACAGGGTCTAATGGTGAACATGTCTCATGAGAATAAGCAATCTCTGTGGGCAGTCCATAGCCAGCACAGAAGAAAATGGCATCAGGAGTACACTAAGAACAGAAACAGAAAGAACAAAGCAAAACAGTGCAGACAGAAAGAACAGCAACAAAGTTTGCAGGATCTCCTCAACATGCCACTCTACCATGCCAGTGTTGACACATCTTCACAACGGATTTTTTGTGTGTGCAAGATTTCAGATTGCAAACAAATGCGAAGAAGCTGGAGATATTCAAGTACCTAATTTATGCTTCAGGGAAGCGAGCAAAGCATATCTTTAAATCCTTTGACTTTACTGCAGACTATCACAAACATACTATGAAAGGGTTCTGGTTATGTTTCGTGCATACTTTATATCTCAGAGAAATGTAGCTTCTCAAAGAGAATGTGTTTGTGAGAGATTTCAAGAACTAGGGAAAATGTTGACTATTTTATAGGAGCTCTGTGTACATTGGCTTAAAACTGTGATTCAGGGAATGCAAAACATGGAAATATCAAACACGGGCTGGCTATTGGGTTAACAGATAAAAACCTTTCAAGGCAACTAAAACTGAGGAAAGATTTCATTCTAGTCATAGCCATTTAAATAGCAAGATGGTGAACTAGTGAAACCTAGGGAAACTTGACAGACTTTAAAAACTGGTGTTAAATTAGAAACTGCAAACATTTGGACATTAAAATTCATAATCATAAAACCCCTGAGGCAAGGAGAGAGAACTCCCAGGCAAAGAGAGACAGGTCCAGCCTACATGGCTGGGTACTAGGTGTGGAGAAAGTCGTATCTCACTATGATGCATGTCCAGCCAAAGGCACATGGTGTAATAAATGCATGAAATATGGACATTTAGCAGCTGTTTGCCATACCAAAGAAGTCAGAGAGTTGACTAAGATCACAGATAACTAAGAGCCATTGTTTCTGGTGTTTGTGATGACATAGAGCCCTGCAAATCTGCGGATATCCTCTTTATGTCTTGATCCATGGATGCAGTTGCATTGTTTACTATCTTTGCTGATTGTGGATTGGATCCAGCTGCACATTTTTGTATCTATGCTGGGCTGTAGACATAGAATCTGCTTGGGTGGTGAACTTGCAAATTCATGGCAAGACTATTGATAGTAAAATTGACTCAGGAGCTGATGTCACAGTCATCTCAGAAGAGACGTGCGATCACTTTCAACCCTTCTCAGAGTGAAGTCACCTGACGCAGCTTTGACTAGTCCTGGAAGTACACTGAATAGCAAGGATCATTTTACCACAGAAACAACTTACAAAGGTAAAAGCTATGCCTACAGAGTTCATGCGATCAAATGATCAAAGATGAACAACCTTCATGGCCACAGCAGGCCAGCCATGATGGGCTCAGGGAGAAAGGTGGAAGGACTTGATGATATTGGATCTCTGAGAGGCTGTTCAGTGCAAATCATCTTAAGAGAAGATGCTGGACCATACAGTGTACTAGTTGAAAATTTGTGGAAATTCAGAAGACACCGTTACCTACTTGTTTTGGTCAGTTTTTCTAGGTTTATAGACATGATGTGCTTGAAAGACATAGACGGTCACAGTGTTACCAAGAAGATAAAGTGCATTTTAGCTCATTTTATTTATTCAAGAATAACTGGTGATGGGCGACAGACCACACAGTTCACAGAATTTAAGTCGCTCTGAACAAAATGAGATTTTGATCATATTACTAGCAGCCTACATTACCTATAAGCAGATGGAGAGGCTGAGAGAGCTGTGCAGACTGCCAACAAAAGCCAACAGCAGAAAGATTGGTCCTTGCATTTCTGAATTACAGATCCACATCACTAGAAGCTATTGGCTGGATTCCAGCATACCTCCTGATGAGAAGGTAATTCAGCCCTACTCTTCACCTTTGGAAAAGAAGCTATTTCCAAAATGGACAGACATGAAAAGAGTAGCCAAATCATATAAAAAGCCTACATGAGCTCATGAACATTTTTTTTTTACAACAAATGTTACTCAGAACTTCCAGGTACAGACCCTGATGGCCATCTAGAAATGGAGATGGTCCATGGAGATCGAGAAAAAGGATGGAAAACATCGGTTGTCCTTAAATTAAACCAAAAAAAAAAAAAAAGAAGAATTTGCCATCATATAAAATGTGATCATAGCTGTTGTTAGAGAATTCAAAAGAAACGGTTGACATCCCCAGAAAGAATAATCAACAATACAAATGCTACAGATAGTGGGTGCAGAAAAAGAAGATTCCAAACTGACCACAGCCTGTCTTTACAAGTAATGGACAGGCAGATGCTAAACTGTATTGTGCTGTTCAGCTAGTAAGAGGCACTGTGTAAAATGCCTTATTTAAATTAACCTCAGTCATATGTGACAGATCTAATGATAAAAGTATCTGGGGTGTACAAGCAAGCTCTGTAACCAGTCCATATCTGGTACAGAAGAACATGACAGAGGCAAAGTGATAGATCTGCTTTAAGACGTGCATGGTCTTAAGTAGGAAGAGTGTAGTGCTTTCAGATGTTTCTTGTATCTCATGCTTTGTGGTCCAGACTAAGCTTTGGAATCTGGGCTGACATGAGTGCTGTATTAGGAACTTGAATAGGATGAACAGCTCTCAGCAGAAGTGGCAACTGGAGACCAGGCAGGAGAATGAGAAACCACATGCATTCCACTCTTGTACCTAGCCAGGGGAGCATTCCTAACAGACATGGCATTCTGATATTCTACCTTGGCCTGACCTTTTATTTTCTAGGGTCTGCATCTGTACTTCCAGGGCTTTGCACAACTCATTCAAACTCTCTAGCAACAGCCACCAAATCCACAGACAGCCACTGCATATCTGCAGATCTCCGATGCGGATACCCACAATTAATTAGTGCAGCTATTGGAGAACTGTGGATACGACAAAAAGGGCTCTCTATGGATATTTCTCTCCACTCGGCATTTACCAGAGAGCAGGGTTGGGGTGCTTCTGCAGAGAAGCATGGGCTAGGCAGAGTGCTTGTCTTGCCGTGCTCCACCATGCGCCCCAGGAGTGCCTGGCAGGGGAAAGTGGGACAAGCATCCCGAGGGGATACAGACACACACACCCCTCCTGAGAATGAGGCACTGCAAAACGGCTTGCTGCTGTGGAGGTGTGGCTGCAGATGCAGACACACACAAATATTTTATTGCTGCAATGTGAAATCCTGAGCAGAAAAAAAAGAGAAGCAAATGGCTTTTTCAGTGTCCTTGCCTCCTGTTGGTATTATAATGTAATTGTTATTTCTGTTCTGAAGCATTCAGAGCTTTTTAGTGTGTGTGTTCCGTTACAGGAATATGAGATGAGAAGGCGTTTTCAAGTGATCCTATAAGCATCCTTGAGCAGAGAGAGTAGGATCCCATGCTTCCATTTGGGGGTGGGGAGAGAGGGACGGTCTCAGAGGAAGCAGAAGTCCTCCTTTTATATCATTGCCGTCATCTTGCCCTAAATGCACAGCAGCCCCTCTGCATTTCTGCTTAGTTAATGCCCTTAGCTCGGGCAGTGTCTAAATGCCACATTCCAGCCCAATTTGTGCAGCCAAAAGGTTAAATGAGACGCTCGTTGCAAATCATGCTCAATAAGCCCTTCTCTCCATTTTGCAGCTTGAACCAGGTAGACCCTTACCATCCCCTAATGACCTCAAAAGAAAGATACTCATAAAGAACAAAAGGCTGAAACCTGAAGTAGAAAAAAGTGAGTAAAGTTCATTAAACCTTTTAAAGTGAAACAGCAGTGTGCACCTTAGGTCGCTGAACGGCGTTCTACCGAACTTTCCAAAATGAAAAATGTTTGAATAGGCTGTACATTCCCTATCCAAGACATTTTCTTTTCACCTGTATTTCAGATCTGTGTACTTTGTATGCATATGTAGAGAGCATATCTGCATGCTTGCAATAGAACCCTTGGTCATAATGTGACAGTTCACACTAAAATGTAACCCGGATGGGATCTGTGGCAGAGCAGGTGTGCTCTCACTGTTGGGTTTTTCTCTCCTGCCAGGGTGAACTAAAACAGAAATGGAATTTCAAATGACTCTTCTGTTCTTGACAATCGTAACATCCTTCTGCTGGGCATGTTGGGATATTCATGGTTCCTAATATGACCACACTGATTGGCCCTTTGAAACCAGTGTCTAAACTCCCATTGACTTTTGTGGCACAGGATTGGCTCATACAGCCCAACTTACAAGCACCATTCTGAAACAACATAAGGGTGCTGCGCTAGGTTGCGGTAAAATTCCCATTTGAGTATGGGATGTAGAATCAGGTGATGAAAGTGTTCAGCCATCTGTTACCCGGGACATGCCCAAAGCAGTAATGCACTTGATCCAGAGGCTGTTGAAGTCATAGAAAGATGCCCCTTGACTTAGCTGGGTATTGGATCAAGCCTGTATTGACTGCCTTTTTTTGATCCAGAATTAGTAATAACTGTTTTATCAAACTATAGCAATGAGTCTCAAGTTCTTTTGTTAACCTTTTGGTACTGAGCACCCATAACGTCCATTAAATTTAAGCCCCGGCAGAAACAGGTCCTGGTTATTTAGGATTTTCTTCATGTAATTGAATTAAAATATTTGAATAAGAACCATTTGTTACTTGAATAACTTTTATTTTCTCTCTGATGTTTTTTACTATTATTTTTTAAACAGAACAGCTTGAGGCTCTGAAAAGTATGATGGAGGCTGGGGAAACAGCTCCCCCTGTAAATATCCTAGAAGATGACAATGAGGAAGAAATAGAAAGCGGTGAGGATTTTATAAGTGATACTTTTCAGGTGTTGTTTGCATGCTGGAAAAGGAGAGAGGTGTACCGAGAGATGTTTGCTGCTGAATCTCAATATAAGCCTTTTAATGTAACTGCTTTATTTTAGCCTGCCATATCCTCTCACACACTGTAGGGCTTCCCACGTGCAACATAAACTCCTAAGTCAATTTATTTGTTCAGATTTTAAATAGTGACTCTGTGAACTTGAAGCACACACAAAATTCAATATATAAACACGTTAGAAATCAAATTAGACTACAGGTTGAACCTCTCTAATCTGGTACCTTTGAGACCAGACCAGTGCTGAACCAGAGAATTTGACAGCCTATGGGAGGTCAATATTATCTATCGGCATTATCAACATTTCCATTGCTTACTGGGCATTTAGGGGTACATTAGAGCTAAATAACAGCAAAGAACACTGAGAGCCAGGGCTAGTGGCTGTAAACAAACTTTATTGGACTGCAGGAAAGTTGGCCACACCCATGATAATTGGACATCTGTCTACCTAAAATTGTGCCAGACCCTGGATGTTGCCAGACCACAGAGTGCTGGACTAGAGAGGTTTAACCTGTATTAGAAAAAGAAGTTGCATTAACCCTTGTATGTCTCATCTTTCATTGCATTGTCTGCACTGCTGTTGCCTTTGAAACATGATTCTGCTTTAGAACCCATTTATTTTTGTTCATTTGTTTCTTTGCATGGGTAGGTTGTATAAAGGGGGTAGGGTAATACAACAGCAAAAATACGTGGAGGGAAAGCAGCAATTAAAAGGGCTGCAGAAAAAAGCAAAGCAGAATGAAGCTGTGAAGATATATGTATTGCAGTTGCATTTACATAGATGGGCAAGTCAGATGTGTTAGTTTGCGTATTTTAACCATTCGGTAGTTGAGAGAAGAGCATTGTGCAGCATCCAGGAGGTAATTGTAATTATTGTAATGCTGCTGGGATTTTACTGTAGTATTAATTATGGGTTAGGGCATCTGGAAACTTGGATAGGCATCTTTTTAAAATATTTAAATCCAATTAGATAAATACATTTTTTAAATGACTAAATGGTCTGTACATAAGAGACCGTATTGGCTCCTCTGAAGGCACTAAGAATTTGTTAAAAAAAAAAGGCAGATATCCATGGATAAAGGGGAATGGATAAAAGGAAAGAGAGTGGGTGTAAGCATATGAGAATTTTAGTGGTGGCACCAAAAGTAGTGAATTTATATTTCAAGTGACTTGTCTTCATTTCATTTTTTCTACCCCAGGCCCATGATTTTTGCATTTTCCTGTGACAAGTTCATGACTTTTCCAAGATCTCTTATTTCTCAATATCTGTTTGACCCACAGATTTATTCTTACACTCCATCTTACTGAATGGGAGCTAGTTACTACATACAGTAAAAGCTAGTAAACCGAGAAATCTGAGGGACTTATTTTAAACTTTTTGAAATCTTTCTACTGCCTTAGTTTTACTCATTTTAGAAAATGAGCCAGTTCACACTGATCTGATGGTTTTTGCACTGGTTCCTGCTGCTATGGTTTGCACACTCATTTCCTTCCTTTTCTTTGTGGTGTAGCTGACCAAGAAGAAGAAGCCCATCCAGAATTCAAATTTGGAACTGAGCTTTCTGCAGATGAATTGAGTCAAAAAGAAGCTATTGCCAATAGTGTCAAAAAGGTAGGCTTGCTTTTTGCCTGTACTCTTGTTGGAAGGTTTTTCCATAGTGTTGTCTTTTATTTTTCCATAAGGATCATACTATGTGCGAGTCATAGGAGAAAATACAGGCGTGTAAAGAGAATCACACCGGGATTTTTCTTGCAGTTATCGATGCTTACATTCACAGTGACATAAAATGTATCACGCCAAAACCTGCTGTGCTTATGCAAACAATACCTTATTCAAAACAATTCAAGCTTATACCTGGGACATCACAGTGCACAGACTACAGGATTAGGCCAAAAATTGTTAGACACAGCTGCAAAGCGATTCCTGCATACATAACAGTCCCTGGCTATGAATTACGTGTCACATCTTAAGAGCCATACTATGGGGAGTATATCCATTTCTCCATATCGTTACTACTCCTGGCATGGCCTCAGCACATTCCTTATATCCAAGACTTCCTCGGTTATTTTTGTACGATCACTACCACTACCACTTGCTGTGCATTTATGAAAGAGTGAAATATGGTAGCAGGAAAATACCCTCAGCAGCAAAGAATAGTTCTGGGACCGCCGCAGGCAGATGGCAAAAGGGTATATTCTTCTCTGGCACTTATCTTAGTAATTTGACATTCTGTACTTGGTTGAAAGAACACTATTTGGTATAGCACTTGTCCATCATTCAATACTATTATTTATTAGTTCCCATAATAAAAAATGTATTTATTAGTTCCCATAAGAGAAGAACTAGAGGACACCAAATGAAGTTAATGGGTAGCAGGTTTAAAACTAATAAAAGAAAGTTCTTCACATAGCGTGTAGTCATCTTGTGGAACTCCTTGCCAGAGGAGGCTGTGAAGGCTAGGACTATTACAGAGTTTAAAGAGAAGCTAGATAATTTCATGGAGGTTAGTTCCATAAAAGGCTATTAGCCAGGGGATAAAATGGTGTCCTTGGCCTCTGTTTGTCAGAGGCTGGAGAAGGATGGCAGGAGACAAATTGCACCCTCTCTGGGGCACCTGGTGCTGGCTAGTGGGCTAGAAGGACCTTTGGTCTGACCCAGTACAGCCATTCTTATGTTCTTATGTTTATGTACTGAATAGTGGAATGCAAAATTAACCCATGCTGGCATCTGCCAGAACCAGCTTGCCATTGAGGTACCTTACCATTTTCCTCTATCACTGAAATATCCCAGCCTTCTTCTCTCCTGCATGGCTTGCTGTGGCTCTTTTAAAATATCGATAGGTGAAGTTCTTCTCGCTACACAAACTGCCTTTCGTAGCCTCTCTCTTAACCGCAGTCTCACAAATGCAAATCGGAGCAGCCTGCTTGCTTTGTCCATCCTTGCTTCTACCAGACCTTTACAGATTTTCCTTCTCTACTGCAGGGCTTATTGAACCAGCCAGCCCCCGGCTGCCCTCTTTGTTGCTCCGAGTGGTCAGTGAAGCTCTGCATGAGCCTGTCTTTGCTCGCTCATTGATCTATGGCCTCTCCCATAGATCAGTGGTGATTCTCTCTGCACATACATTGAGAGCCGAGTCACTGTTTTTCTGCCTAAGGTTCTCAGCAGCAGCTTCTAATGGAAAGAAGAAAACACAGGGAGTCACTCAGGGAATGGCACTCTAGTGGCAAGTAACTTTGCCATCTTTTGGGACAAATAGCAGCATTCTTACACATTTGGACATAGACACCACATAACACTGAGCCACTGCAACCCTTGTATCTTCCACTCTTCAAATGTCCTCAGAATCTGGATGCCTTGAATATGGGATGGTAGATGATCTTTCATGTGTGTGCTCTCTCTCTCTCTTGCTTGCCCCCACCTCCCCGTGTTTTCTGCCTTCCCAGACATGACTCTTCCCCCATGTTTGGACTTTAACTGCTGGATGCTCTCCTTCCTGTTACCTGTATTGGCAAGACTACACCCTTTTTTATACCCATTTGAACGCTACTGCAACCCTTTGAGAGTTAAATGATAGATGAACCATAGAATCAATTGGAAAGGGAAATACTTTTTGTCAAATGCGTTAACCATTTGAGGGTTTTCTTTTATATAACTAGGAGTGTTTCGTATTGCAATTTCTCCGGGTAATATATATGTATTTTTTTCCATAGGCTCTGGAAGATTCTGAACAGGAAAACAGTAAAAAGGTGACACACAGGATGTTATGTAGTTTCTATTAAATTTCTTTTTATATAAACATTTTTGTCTACAATACATTCATAAATGTGTAACTATTTTGCACACTGTTTCTTTGCACCTTTGATGCTCCTTTCTCCCTATAATGATTGCCAATAGGGCTGCAGCTCCATCTCCTCCCACTCCCCTTCCTCACATATCAAGAGCTCAGTCTTGCAAACTCTCTGCAGGTAGAACACTCATTGACTTTTGTGCAGACTGCTTTTGGGGTCAGGCCATATTGAACAACATTAAAATAAAGTATTGGCTATCACGCTCTCTCTCTATATATATATATCTATATCTAGGTATAGATATAGATATATTTTTTAAAAAATTCCTGCGGGATGACAGAGTGACGTCATCATGTCCTCTGCGTCCCACCACCCACCTGAATCCTTAGCCACACACCCTCTCCCTCCCTGCTCCCCAGTTCCTGTCTGTTTTTCTTTAAACCCATGTCAGCATCACAAAGCAGGTCACAGGTGTGCGGCAGAACATTAGGAAATAGATTTGCTTTTTCTCCCCTTTCCCCTGAACTGGTAGTTGGGGGTACAGTGGACTGTTACTTTGTCATTCTTTAATGCTGGTACATTTAAGGCTTCTTGCCTTAAAACAAATGATTTCACAATATTTCCAGTTATTCGTGGTTTCTTGGTATAATAGACACACGTTTTGTAACAGAGCAGCATTGCATTCTGAGCATGAAAAGCTGTGTTACAATATTGATGTATATTAAGATATATACACAGTAGGTCATGAGAGGCCTAACTAAGCAAGAAGATAGATTAGAAGAGAAAGTCTCACTGTGGTGCTCTTTGTCAGGGAGAGTGAAGAAAAGTGTAAGGCAGAGTAAAATGAGTTTTGTGTAGTGTGATAGGAGCCTTTTCTAGTCTATAAAAATACTTTATTGTAACTCATGTTGATATTTATTTGGGCTGTATAATCACATGAGAAATTACTCTTGTTGGAAGTCTCTGTATGTGCAGTGGATCTTTATGCGCGTGCTGGAAAGACATTTAGACCACTCTTTACAGTCAGGCACAATGTACTATATGCCCTGTTTCTCCACAACTTTGTCAGTTTCATTTTTGGTCAGATTCTAATCCCCACTTTCCCTTATTATTTCAGTCTTGGTCACATCCACAAAGATTCCCAATGGCACTAATTTGAGTTTTGATGACGACAAAGATCCTCCTGGTATCAGCCTCAAAATTACCCCTTCTGACCAAATTAGTATTAAAAAGATCAGGTTTTGAGTTGGTAAGGCAGTGCATTATCCCACAGCATTTTTATGCCTACTTTGCCTTTTTTAATCAATATTCTGGATTTACCAACATCATACTGCACACTACTTAGGAGTCAGTTTAGCCATCAAGCCTCGTGCATGATGTCCATTAACACTGAGTGTTCTGCAGATATCAATAACAAAATAGACGCTAACAGGCAACATTGAGGTTCCAACCTTTTTTATGTTATTATGTGTCTATTTTCACATCTGACGATACAGGTGTCATTTTTTATGTCTTGCTAAAAACTGCAACAAATGCAAAAAAAGTGATTAGTGAATATACTTTTAAATGTGCTTTCAGGGTATAGTAACTGTTGAAGATGAACAAGCATGGATGGCATCTTACAAATATGTTGGTGCTACAACCAATATACATCCATATTTATCAACTATGATCAACTATGCTCAGCCTGTAAAGTTTCAAGGTTTCCATGTAGCAGAAGGTAACACAAAAGGTTGAATGAAACAATATTTGTCTGCTTACTTCTATTTAGTTTTGTGTAATAATTCTTATATCCTGTTTGCTATTCATACAATGTGTTTAAAATTCTGGTTTTAGTTTAGTAAACGCCATTTATATCTGGTATTCACTGAACACTTATCTGAAATATAAAATTAACTTGTTATTCCATTTGTCAGCCACATGGAGGCACTGAATTATTAGGAGTATATTAAGTTAACTTATTGTATCTCATTGCAAAAAATGATCACGGTCTGTAAACCTATTGTTTTTTTCCTCTTTCACTAAAGTAAGATAAATATAGTTGTCATGAAGGTTAACAGTTTGCTTGTTGTGAAATGTATAACTTTGGGTAATTTCAGTGTTTTTATAAATATAAAAGCCAAGTTTTGATGGCTCATAAGAATGGTCTTACAGAGAAGAAAATGATAAATAAGAAAATATCATTTGAGACTATTTCAAATGTAATTTTGTTTTATAAAATTGCAAAGAGTGAGAAAACAGAGAGATCTGCATTACTGCATTACAAAGTATTTATTGCATGTTTTTTTTTAATTTTGCTCCATTTTATACTCAGTATTTTAAAATGGATTTTATTCTTATTTTTCTAGAACGCAATATTCATTACAATATGTCCTCTTTCAATGAATCAGTTGGACTAGGGTATTTGAAGACACATGCAATTGAATTTGTGAAGTATCCTTCTATTAAAAGCATATACTGAACACCAGTTCTATTTCTGGCCAGACAGTAGACTTCTGTCCTATAAACCAGAATCATTTTGTTCTAATTTTACAATATATTGTCCACATGGGAGCATAGAAAACAGGACACAGCATACAAGAAATAATAACGGTATGAGTAAATGATCTTAGGTTTCTATGTTGTTTATTTCATTTTCCTTAACATGTTACATAGTTATAATAAACGACAAATGAGTCGGATATACCCCAAGGGAGGCAGAGTTGATTCCAGTAATTACATGCCTCAAATTTTCTGGAACGCTGGCTGCCAGATGGTCTCACTGAACTTTCAGACCCCAGGTAGGCAGTGATGTCCAGTCAACCTAAATTCCAGAGAAAGGCTTGGCCAAGAATACTCAGACAGATGCCACTGATTTCCTCCTGGCGTTTTTTGAGGAAGCAGACATATGGCTAAACAGTATGATGATGTGTATGGAATCACGGGTGCATAAGACAAGAAATAATTGTTTTTGAAAAAGGCATGGAAGAAAATGCAGTCTCCTTTTATTTGCAAAAATAATTAGCAAGGCACTTTAGGATCTCAAATAAATGTAATATACTCAATATAAATTGTAGTTCTAAAATAATCACCCTTTTCACACAAGTCCTATTTTTGCAACAAAATGCTTGGCTTCCATAGAGAACATTACAGTGGAGGAACACATAGAATATGATAGTAAATAATAATAATTACAAGTCAGCTATATTTCTAGATCAGTACACAATTACTGACACATCTTATTTTTAGCATTGGGAAGTGGGCCAGGACTGCCAGCCACTTAAGGTGGTGGTGATGTGGCTAAGAGAGTCCAAGAGAATAAGACTGAAGACAAATGGCGGTGGAGAGGCCAACCCAACAAGAGGTGGTAGGGTTTTATAAAGGAAGACATATTGGCATGTAGTTTGATAGACAATACAGCAGGGGTGGGCAAAAGGGCCTCCGTAGGCCAGATCCAGCCTGCCAAGCAAGTTGATCTGGCCCGCGGAGGCCCTGCCACTCCCCCTCCCCCAGGGCAATCAGCGCCTGGGGATGGGGGAGCGCACAGCTCTTAGTCAACCCTGGTGTTTGAATCTAAGCGCCACGTGCCAGAGGGCAGGGAGTGAAAGACTTCACTCACTTCCCCAACCCCTGATTGGCCTAGGGGTGGACAGGAGCATGTAAAGTCTCCTCCCACCCTGCGGGGGGCATGGCACTTCTAAGCGCCGCACACTCTTTACAGGATGAGGGTAGGGCGGGAGGAGACTTCGTGTGCTCCTCTACCACCAGGCAAATCAGGGCTTGGGGGTAGGGTTGCCACATGGTTTCAACAGAAATACCAGACACACTTGACATTACATCACAATCGACATGACATCTTCTTTAGAAAATACCTGACATTTATATTTTCTCCATTTGTTTCCTGAACAGAAAGCTCAAATACTGGACTATCTGGTTCAAAACAGGACACCTGGCAACCCTACTTGGGTGGGGGAAGAGCCCTCCTGCTCTGAAAAAGGCTTGGCCCTTAGTCAACTGCTGCTCAGTTGGCGGTTGACTCTAAGTGTGGCGCTCCCTTGCAGGGCGGGGTCAGGGAGCAAGACAATTTGTGTGCTCCCCCTCCCCCAGGCCCTGATTGACCTAGGGGCAGCAGCGGGGCAAATACTTTGTGCACTCCTCCACTCCCAGACCAATCAGGGTCTGTGGGTAGGGAAGCATGGAAGTGCGCTGGCCCTGCCCCTTCCGCATGAGGCCCCGCCCCTTCCGGGGCAACGTTAAAAAATTCTGAAGTGACCCCTGGTCAAAAATTACTGCCGCCCCTGTGGTACAGTATTGAACAGGAGTGTAGGACCCTTTTGATGTGATTAATGCAAGGAAGAAGATCTGTGGATAGGCACTCTATACATTAATATACTACTCAGGCTTTACAGTAAGCTTCTGAGCTAAGTATTGTAGTCTCTACAAGCCCGACTCTGTAAACTGACCCGGGCAGGCCAACCCTTGTGCTCATGCAGAGTCCCAGTGACTTGCAGGATCAGGACCTAACACAGCTGTAACTATAATCTGGTTTTTTAGCTACTCATTTGATTTTAGCCTGCTGAGTAAAGAAAGACTTGACCATTGTAAAGTAAGCTGAAGTCTTCCAGTTGAGTGTGTAGAAGTCCCCCTGAATTAAATTGGTTATTCTGGACAAACACTATGCATCATAGTTCATTTTGTAAGGAAGGTTGCTCTATATCTGCATTATTCACATAGACGAGATACTTAATTCTTTCTGTTCCTTGACAGATTTAGCAATGCAGTTGAATCAGGGAAAATTTGAATATAATGGATCATGCGGGTGAGTAGTTATTTAAACTCTTTTCATTGTGTATCACAGCACTATACCGTAGCTTTCATAAAACTTTGTCACTTTTAATTATGAGTAACAAATGAAAAATTGGGTGCCAGGTATTGAATAGAAATGAGCAGAATTCCTGGGGTTGATTTATGCTTGCCAAGTAGTGTGGTTAATACACTTTTCAGCCACACTCAGCTTTATTAAATGAGAAGAGATTTTGTGCAAAATTAGACCAAGGGTTCTGGCCATCAGAAGAGTGAAGTTGTGGAATAGCCTTCCAAGAACAGTGGGGGCAAAAAACCTCCGCTGAGCTTGATATGTTTATGAAGAACACTACCTATGATGACATGTGGCCCATTGGCAATTGCCAATCCCCAAATTGGAGATGAGACCCTAGGTGGGTTCTCAGTTACTACAGAGAATGTTTTCCCAGGTATCAAGCTGCTAGATCTTGCCCACATGCTCAGGGTCTAACTGGTCGCCATATTAGGGGCTGGGAAGGGATTTTCCCCCAGTTCAGAGACCATGGGGGTTTCCACCTTTGTTTGCAGCAGGGGACATGGGTCATTTGCAGACTTAACCTAGTGTAAATGGTGAATTCTCTGTAACCTGAAGTCTTTAAGCCACTATTTGAAGATTTCAGTAACTCACCCAGGGTATGTCTACACTACCACCCTAGTTCGAACTAGGGTGGTAGTGTAGACATACCCTCATGGAAAAGAGCAAAGTTGCATTTGCCATTAACAAATGATTCATGGTCATACAATGCCCTGGGGCAGTGGGACAGGACAAAATCTATGGGCTAAAACATATTTTTAAAAATGGGTGCAAAATAGGGATGCTTGAGTGTAACTGTTTTGACCATTTAACCGATAAGCGGATGCTTATCAGTTAACGGTGTCGGTTACACTCAGCAAAGCTTCCTCCCTGGGAGAAGAGCTGGGCTGTCAAGGGCTGCCAGCTCCCCTCCAGAGGAGGTTTCACTGCCACAGCAAAGCCTCTTCCCCGGGAGCAAAGCCAGGCCAGGCTGGCAAGGGCCTCAGCAAAGCCTCCTTCCTGGAAGTGGAGCTGGGCTGGCAGGGGCTGGCAGCCCCACTTACAGGGAGGTTTCACTACGGGCTCTGCCGTATAAAGCGGGAGTGAGTGCATGAGGTTCTGTAGCCTGCAATGTGCAGGAGGTCAGGTGATCACAATGACCCTTTTGATCATAAAGCCTATGAATCTATGTAAAGCACATGCAAAATTAACTAAATTCATCATCATTTGTAAATACAAATCCTTTTTAAAAACCTGGCTCAAAATGCAAGACTCCTACTAGAGTTCACAAGAAATCTGAATTTACTTGGACGTTGTAGGCTAATTTATACGGGAGATTTTTTTTCTTGATTGTAGTCTTTGGAAAATTTTAAAAAAACAAACATGGAACTTAAGGGCAGCTATTGGAACTGATGTAGGACTGTGTCCAAACAAGGAATAGTAACCACTAATTTGTAATGAAAGAGCAACTTTGAGAGCAGATACCCATCATTCCATCTCTGTCTCTCAAACATACATGTTCATGATTCTTTTATTCAAGGTTATTCTGTTTCTGTTTTGAGTGAGGGAGTGACTAGTTAATGTACATGAAGAAAGAGAAAGATTTTGATGAATCATACAAAATACTAAATTATTTAGAAAATAGGAGACTAGAATCTATTTAAATGGCCTCAGAATTACTGTGAAAATAAGACAGTTGCTTTAGTAATAGGATTCTTCTCATTCATTATTGTAATTGTCACTATAAGATTTATAAATTAATTTACCTAGTATTCTGTCTGCATTTTCAGTGGTAGTGAGAATACTTCATCTGTTTTTATTTGGTGGGTAGTTATAATTTGTTTGCTATAGTGCACTCTTTAGAGGCAAAAAATGTTCATTATCTGTAAAAGTAGATGGGCCTAACATGATTTTCCTGGTGATGTCTAATTCTAGAAAATTATCCTATCCAGAAGGAAATAATTGTATGAACCTAGTGGATGGAGTTTAGAAAAAGGTTTTCATCTATAAAATGCGAGTCACGCCACTTCCTTTCTCTCACCCATTGTCTGCCTTGTGTATCTGTGTTCTGAGGCAGAGACTGCCTCTTACTATGTGACTGTACCATCTCTAGCAAAATGGGGCTCCAAACTTGTTTGTGGCCTGTAGCCACTATCGCAGTACAAATGCATGAATAATAAAAAAATTGAAGAAAGCAGCATGTGATATTGTACTAAACTAGTGATAAAAATTATGATAAAAGCAAGCCTGGGATGTACTGTAAATTAGTGAGTATAGCTCTCGGGTTGTCCATGTTTTTACCTACCATACCCTCACCTCCCCCCACTGGGTGTATATATATCCACATCTTTTGCAATTTGATTTTTACTCACATTTTACTCATATTACAAGATGACAAGATCAACATAATAAAATCAGCATCTTTGATTTAATAATAATTTAATAAGAGCGGCAATGTTGTTGTGTTTACTCAAATAAAATAACAAGACCCAGTATTATCAGGCTGCGTGATGTCATAATCTTGAATCTTTAGAGCTGGCAAATGGCAACCATATCAAAGGCCACCAGATTCTTTTATGAAGGTAGCAGAAGTCTCTGCGGGTTATGTACGTCCCGGGTTTTCTAATATATTTTTTACACACACTAGAAAAATTGAGGATAATAGACGAGCGCGTGTTATACTTGGATGTGTGTTATATTCGCTAATTTATGGTAAATGTAAAAGCATGTAAATGCAAGCAAGAGATGAGTCTGCTGATTTCCCAGAAAATGGTCACATATGCCTGTCAAGCTTAAAACCAGTTTATTTCTCCAGAATGGAGCAGTTGTAACGGGTCTCGACAGGCTGCCCCACTGGAGCATGCCGGGATCCACTGTGCTTCCCAAGTGTGGGGAGCCGGGCAACTCAGCGGTAGTCTAGCTGCCAGCCCTCCAGTGGAACTCTCTCGTACTGGAACATCCGGACTACGGGTGTTGTCAGACTGGAGAGTCCCAGTTTACAGAGGTTCAACCAGTGCTGTCCTCATACTTTTAAAGTGTGTAAGACATTTTCAAACAAACAAAAATAGATCCCTTCATCAGTCATTGGCTTGGATGATTTTGTCTGCCTCGCTGACATTGGAATGGAATATGAAACGTGCCCCAGAGGATTTCTGCAGGAATATTTCTGTAATATGCATAGTACCGTAGACTTCTGATAATCCGGCATCTTTTGGACCTAGGTGGTGCCGGATTATCAGATTTGCCGGAGAATCAGGAGGTCCGATACAGCTGCACGGCTTAACAGCTGGCCAGGACGCAATCTTCCTCCCTCTCCCCTCCCCTTTCCTCTTTGCATCTCCTCAGTGCTATAACCTGATGTTCCTCCCCCACTCCTCTTCTTTCCCTTCGCTGAAGCAAAAGGCTCTTCTCCATGCTGTAACAAGATCCCACTCCCTCCTCCCTCCCCCAACCTTATGCTCCCTCTGGTTACAGCCAGCACCTGTGCTAAGCGGTAGGTTTTTTAATCAGCTGGTCAGGAGCGCTTGGCATTTTGATGCCGGAGTATCAAGAGTGCCGAACAGTTGGATGCCGGACTATCGGAGTTTTACTGTACACGGAAGGTTTGATGTGGTATCAGTGTTTTATGGGCTACCGATTAGGACAGCTCCATTACTCAGACATAAGAAACCCTGGTCTCCGCTCTGTGGTGGTTCAAAAGCCCAGTGAAAATTCACTTGATATGTAAGGTCCCTTTAGGACTACCCAAGGAATAAGTCTAATTGATGCATCTTTGGTGAAAATGCGCTGATGTTAAGGAATTAAACAAATGCAATGTGTGATATGTTTGGCTCCTGTGTGTGTATTATAGACACAGCAGGCCTCCTAATTTTCTTCTGTGACCTACCCCGTTTCACATTGTTATTACTCCATTGGCTTCAATGAGTTAATCATGATTTGTATCAGTGTAAGAGCACAGCCAGCTCATCATGGCTAACATACAGCCCAGCAATATCCAACAGTTCCCCTTTTGCCCCAGATATACGTTTTAAAAGATTTAGAAAGCCACACACAATCGTTATATAATGTTATATGGTGCTGAGGAAAAGTGCTTTCCCTTCTAGAAACCAAACCAAAAGTGGAAAGTGAGATTCTTTCTGTCATCATAGCTCCTCCAGCTCCTTTTTAATTGTTCTGATTGCAGTCTAGACTTTGATAAGCATTGTATTTAATGATGCTTAGCCGAAATTGTGTTGTAGGTAACAGCTGCTATCTGTGCACGGCTGGTGAATTTGGACATTTTCTTCCATTGTTGGAAGAGAATTCCCTTCAGCTGTGTCACAGATGAAGTCCAGAAGCCTTTGCCATTGTATTTCAGAATCAGAGTCCTCATTTGTTACTCATCAGTGCACAAATGGGTTTCATTGATATGTTGAGCCAGGGGATAGTCCCCAGGGTAGCAGTGTAAGTGATATTAGCACAATACCATTCACACCACTATAATTAAGGATGTGTCAGTATTAACAGCGCTTTTCCTCATGGGTTTATCCTTCAGATGAGGAAATTCCATTTCAGGATGTAACTTACTAAATAAATCTTGGCTGGGGGGGGGGTCTCATTCTTTAAAAAACAATTTTTTCATAAAACATTTAGCCCATATTTTTCATAAAACATTTAGGGGGGCTTCCTCACAGTTGCATGAATTTAAAGCCAGATTGGTAGCATCTATTTTAAAATACCATGGTGGATTTCCTTTGTTAAAATTAGATCATCAGCATTACTTAGAATAAATAAAGTAGCAATTTAAAGTTCCATATAGAAATAAATTTCTTCTTCTCTTTCTTGAATAAGGTATCTCCTTAAACCAGATTTCATGCGACGACCAGATCGAACGTTTGACCCATTCTCTGAAACGCCAGTAGATGGTGTTATTGCAGCAACTTGTTCAGTACAGGTAAACTATAACTGAGATTGTGCAGTCATCTGAGAGCTTCCAAAAGCACATTTTAAACATGACCAGATAGCTAATATGTAGGGCGAGATTCTTCAGAATTTATGGGTTTCATCAAATTGTTCTAATTTTTGTTATTTGATTGCTGTTTACAACATCTGTGTTTGCTTGAGCTGAATAGAACTTGATATAATTAGAAATGGCTTGTAATTATCCATTTAAAGTGTGTCACTGAATTTTAAATCCCCCGCTGTTCTTGTGGTTTAGAGCAGCCATCGCAAAATAAACTCTGATGGGCTTATGCCTGCAGGTAATCCAGAATCATGTATGTCCTACTGGTTACTACAGACAAGGTTTTGTCATGGGAATGTTTCCGTAGGACATTTTCAGTACATGTAGATCTTCAAAAATGGCTGCCACATTTATAGTGTCACTTACGGCTCCTCTAGAAAAAGAGATAACACAAAGCTTCAGTAGGATTAGTTGAGGAAAATCAGTTATGGAAAATTAGTAGAGAGAGGTGATGGGGGGTACAAATACTTTTCATTCATAGAGCAGCCTTAATTATGTCCAGTTTGGATGTTATGAAAAGGCTAGGTACAGAGGTCCTAACTTTTTGAATTATATGAATCATCTGTGAGGCAGTAGAATCCATAAAACTCCTAGGTTATTTTACTAAACTAGTCTAAATCTTTTGATCCTGATCTGGATAGAGGCTACCGAGACAGAGACAGAAAGAAAAGTGGCATAAAATGACTTTTTACTGCATTTCTTCCACTCTCTGCCAATACTCTTATTAGCTCCGCTAACTCAGAATGCTGCTCGGGAAAATGCTCTGGTCTCCGTGATCACTTTATATAGATCTAGTAGAAGAAGAGCTGTGAATATTCCAAACAGCACCCCTCAAGCAAAATTTTGTCAAACATTAGGTATATTTACCCCAAGTATCACATCAGCCATTATATGAATAAAAGACATGTTTTGTGTAGCTCTCTATCATCTCGGAGGAAGAAGAGGGAGTTAGCAGAATAGTAATTGTGCGTGTGTATGTGCGTGCGTTTCTTGTATCAGTAAAATTAGGATAGTAAAGCTTACCCCCTTTGTAAAGCATATTAAAGCATCAGGTGAAAAGTCCTGTATAAATGCCAAGTGCTACTGTAAGTGTAAAACTTATGAGTTATTTAGTAAAAGCTTTGTTATCCGGCCCTTTAATATCTGGAAAACTCGGTTAACCAGCATTGCCCCCGTCCGTTATACCCCCAAATCTTCAAGCATTCAAGCGTCCCCAGTCTGTTCAGTAGGCCAGTTTGATGCCTCTGGCCGTTGAACCAGCTGCTGTCATCATCAGGCACCTTCCTTCCCCCTCAGCCTGCTTGACCTGCCGGGAGCCGGATCTGCTGGAGGGCTCCTGGGCAGCTGGCCGGCTTGTTTGCTTGCCACATCGTGTGGCTCTGGGGGAGGGGAAGAGTTGCCAGAGAGCCCAGTTTTGCTAAGGAGGCGGGAGTTGGTCGCTGCAGTTTCCTTCAGATAGGGGGCAGGAGCAGAGCAATAAGCTCGAATATCCAGCACAATAAATTAACCGGCAACCCCCATTCCCCATGAGTGCCAGATAACAAAGCTTTTCCTGTATCAGTGGCCCCACTCTGAATCAGGACCCCGTGGGCTGAACCAGTGTACTGGAGGGCACCGGCTCTGCCCTAAAGAATTTACAAGTGTGTTTAAAACAAAACACAACAAATAAAGGAGGACTAGGGTAATAGGAGTAAGCGTACCTGTTCCCTAAGGTAATGGTGTACAGTAATGGCATTCATAATTTATTGGTTCTGTGTCAGTCTTGTAGCACAGGTTGAACCTCCCAATTCTGGGACTCTCTGGTCTGGCAACGTCTGTGGTCCGGAAGGGTCCCGGATGTTACCGGACCAAAGAGGCTGGGAATGGGATCTAGCTGGGAGAACACAGAGGCTGGGGAGCCAAGGCTGGGCCAGCAGTGGCTGGGATAGGAAACCCCCGGCATTAGCAGAACCTGGTGGAGGCCAGGGAGCCCCTGCCCTGGCCAGGGAACCACCGACATCAGAAGGGCCAGGTGGCCAGGGACTCCAGGCAGCAGCGGGGTTGACAGCAGCCACATGTGGCTGGCTGCAGCAGGGTGACCCGGCAGGGGAACCTTAGGGAATCCCCGGTGGCAGCAGGTGGGCAGAAGGGAGGAGCCCTGGTCAGCCAGTGTTCACAGGGCAGCGGCAGGGAGAGGAGGCTGGCAGTGGGGCAGCCAGCAGGGGAACATTGACCTCCCCTAGTCCAGCAAATTCTCTGGTCCCAAGGGTGCCAGATTGGGGAGGTCCTAATCTTCAGTGACCCTGAGAAAAGAACAGGTCAAAATCAACTTTGGTCTGCTCAATTTCAAATATGTTTCATTTTTGCCTTCAATCCTTGACAATATAGAATAACAACATGTGCTGTGTTGGCGAATATAAGCTCATGTTAATTAAACAAAAAAATTGTCACAGGAGAATGGCCTGCTGTATAAATATAGACTTGGAATACATTTGCAGCAAATTCAAGATATTTGTATGCAGAGAGGAATCCTGCAAAAGGCTTCCATTACACTAGGGTTATTTTAAGCATCCCGCATTTTACAGAGCTGTTATATTAAATTAGACTAGGGAGCTGCCCACCCTTCTCACTATGCTCGCCAACCGTCCACCACAGCCAGCTCATGGCCTCTCCTCCTATCCGCGCCGTAGCAGGAGGGGCCACCACCAACCCTTTCTGTGACCAACTGGGGGCTGGACCACAGGACCCTCAGATTTTGTGTGTAGACACGTTATTTCAAAATAACTTATTTTGAATTCACTATTTCTAAATAACACTGTAGCGTAGACATACTCTTAGAGCAGTGGTTCCCAAACTTTTCAGCATCACGCCCTCCTTTCTGATTTTTGAAAAATCCTCACCCCCTACCCCCCAAAAAAACTTGTGGAGCAAAAAAAAAAAAAAAAGGAAGAAGTGGAGGTGGGGGGGGGGGGGCTGGGTCACCTCGTGCCCTCCCTGGAATTTCTTCACGACCCCCCCCAGGGGGGCACACACCCCAGTTTGGGAACCCATGCCTTAGAGACTAACAAAAAATTCAGATGGTGTGATTTTTATTCAGATCTTTCCCTGTTATGGCGCTTATACCTTTTCCCTTGTTAATACTGATTGTGTTAAGTATCTGATCACAATTTACCTTTTTAGTGAAGACTGAAGCAAAATAGGCATAACACATCTTAGCCTTCTTCATGTCATCTGTTGTTAACTCTGCTCCCCTTATAAGTAGTGAACCTCTGCTTTCCTTCATCTTTCAGGTTTTTACTAATGTCCAACCTAAACCTCCCTTGCTGCAGTTTAAGCCCATTGCTTTTTGTCCTGAAGGTTTTTCAAGGAGAACAATTTTTCTCCCTCCTCCTTGTGACATCCTTTTAGATACTTGAAAACCACTGTCATGTCCCCTCTCTGTCTTTTCTTTTCCAAACTAAACAAGCCCAATTCCTTCAGCCTTGCCTGATAGCTCATGTTTTCTAGACTTGTAGTAATTTTTGTTGCTCTTCTCTGGACCTTCTCCAGTTTCTCCACATCATCCTTGAAATGAGGTGCCCAGAACTAGACACACTACTCCAACTGAGACCTAATCAGTTCAGAGTAGAGCAGAATAATTCCTCGTGTCTTGCTCACAACACTCTTGTTAAAGATCCATTTCTGTACTTATAGAACAACTTTATAGAACTTCTATAGAACTTCTTTTTCCCTTAGATTTTGTTCCTATGAGACCTTACCTACAAGGTCTCTTGAGTATGCTGAAATCTGCTTTTTTAAAGTCCATTGTCTTTATTCTGCTGCTCTCACTACTTATTTTCATTAGAACCATAAAATCTATCATTTTGTGATCCATTTCACCCTAACTGCCTTCAAATTTTGCACCCAATTTCTCCCTGCTGGTCCAAATTAAGTCTAAAATGTCTGTCCAGTTGGCTGTTTCCTTCATCTTCTGAAACAACTGGTTGACCTCAGTTCATTTCAATAATTTATTGGAGATTTGTGTTTGTTCTAGATATGCCCCTGTATAGAGCCCCATAATTTGGGTAAAATATATCTTCCATATGGATAGTGAGTCGTGATTTGAAGATACCAAAAGGTGGAGAATCCACCACTTCCCTTGATTGATTGTTTCAGTGGTTAATCTCCATCACTGTTAAAAATTTGGACTGTCTTAATAATTTCAATAAATGACTGCATCTTGTAGCTATTGGTTCTTACTAGGCCTTTCTCTGATAGATTAAAGAGATTTATAGTGCACAGAATTTTCTCCCAAAGAAGGTGTTTATGCACTAGCAAAGCACTTTTAAGAACAAAAATAGACCCATTAAAATCAGTAGTACCACTCATACTTAAAGTTATGAACAAAGATATATGCTTTGTTGGATCATGTCCTCACTGGCTTGAGAAAAGCTTAGTTTTTCAGACAGACTCAGAGCAACCTTCATGTGATAGCTCTGCCAATCCATGTCTTTGTAAAAACATTAGAGAAAATGTGCTGTTTTTAAAAAGGTGCTTGGATGACAACACTGAAGGTAGAACAGCATGGGCAGCAACAATGTGTAAACTCCCCTGTGTACCACCCCCCTCATGTAAGACAATCCTGTTTTGTAGAAACTATCGTCAGAATGTTCAGGTTGGAAACTCTTTGTGGGAAGGAACCATGTTTTTGTTCTTTGTATGCAAAGTACCTAGCAAAATGGGGCCCTGATCCAGGCCAAGACACAATGGTAATACAAGAGAAAAAGAAGATAATTCAGTCTCCACCTCCATAAGATTATTGACCGCTTGGTTCAGATGTACCACCACATTTGTCTATTAGTGCCACTTATGATAATAGTTATGTAAAGTTCACACATATTCACCAAGTTGTTTTATATAGGCCACAGAGTGAGTGAGATCACAATAACTTGCAATTAACTACAGTGGCTGTGACCTAGAGGTAAAAGCTGTCATATGCCTGTTACCAAGGAGCAATCTAGTCCTTTTGGGGAGAGGGGGGGAGTCTGTTCTGAATTGATTCATTTTCTGTTATAAGCCAAAGTGCCCCTTGATGAAAGATCTGTCAAACTGGCCAGTGTTTTCCTCTGATATGGCAAGTTTGAAAGAGACTACTTGTGACTCAAACCAAGGTTTGAACGAACATGTTCATGAGAGAAAAGCCAGTGTCTTTGCCACTGTACGTCCAGTTGCATATTAGTGCATTTGCGCATGTGTATTTAATTTGTTTTCAGTCTCTGCAGTGAGACCGCAAACTAGCAAAGCACTTAAGCCTCTTCTTAAGTACTATGCTGTCATGAGTCCTTAGATCTAAGACTAGTGTATGCACACACCAGCTGCTGCTAAATAGGGAGAACAATATGGGTATGTCTACATTACGGGATAAGGTCAAATTAAGACATGCAACTTAGCTACGTTAATTGCGTAGCTGAAGTCAAAGTACCTTAGCTTATCTTTTGGCACTGTCCACACTGCAGGAAGTCAAAGGGAGAACACTGTCCCTTTGATTTCCCATACTCCTCATGGAAGCAGGACTACCAGCATCAACCGGAGTGCCCCTCTCAGTTTGAATTAGCACGTCTTCTCTAGACCTGCTATTTCAAACCCTGGAAGATCGACTGTGGCAGCTTCGATCTTCTCTGTAGTGTAGACGTGCCCTATATGACCTTCCCATTGGGCTGTTTATTAGAATGACCATCAAGTCAGCATCTCACTTTCGTTAAAATTTAGTATGAAATGCCCAAAATAAAAAAGAGGAATTCTATCAGAAAAGACACTGTTTACTTGTTTTTACAGATGCATAATATAAGCATGGAATCTCATTTTTAAAAATAAGTAGTTTATGTACATTTATAAATAGGCCTAATTCATCATTGAGTAATACCCATTTTCTGTCATTTGTTGTGTGTGCACATATTGATAAAAAAATTAGAATTACTTTTTTATTTACAAAACCAATTGTACTAACTTGAAATTCAGTGGTTATTAGATGCTGTGGAAGAATATTACCGTACTAAATGAATATGATTTTGCTTAATGAACATATGTAAATATTGTTATTTGATAAAGAATACAGGTGAGATTGTTTCCACTCACTATAAAATACCAAATATGCTATATTGCTGTTTCTTTCTTTAGCCCAGAGTAGTATATTTAATTCCTTTTCTTCTTTTTCAGGTGATATCTGGTCAGTTCTTATCAGATAAAAAAATTGGTACGTATGTAGAAGTGGATATGTATGGGTTACCTACGGACACGATACGTAAAGAATTTCGAACCCGCATGGTGATGAACAATGGTCTGAACCCTGTTTACAATGAAGAATCATTTGTATTTCGAAAGGTAGGCATTTTAGAATGTATACGTTAGTGTTTTTGAAGCCCTTTCCTATGTGAATATTCTTTGCTTCCAGGAGCAATCTCTTTTGCTTCAGTGTAACCACACACATGAATAAGAGTCACTCCCATGAACAAGGAGTTGCAGGTTTGGACCTTACATTTGTAGGCCTCCTGTTTGCCACGGTAAACCTGTAAACCTTTAAGGTTGAATGAAACTTTCAACAGTTTTTTGTAATGGATAACTTCTGTAGTTGTCACATGATTTTTTTTTTTTTTATCTGTCTGGCTTTTTCCTCTTTTTTGCTTCCTCCTCCTTCTTGGAGGAACCCATGTCCTTCGTGGCAATGCCTGTGTTCCAGGTATGCAGTCTGCTCTGAGTGAGCGCCCGCTGGTGGACACCAACATTCCTTGGAGATGTCTTCTTCCCTGCCCTGACAGTGGCTGCTATCTTGCACTGTTCCTTCAGCCAAGAGGGCAGGTGAGATGCTGCATCCAAAGCTAAGGTCAATGTCATTCCATGGAAACGATGAAAGGGCGCTGTGTTCCTCAGACACGTGGCCAGCTCCCTCCTCTTGTACACCTTGTGTGTCATGTACTTAGAAAAAACCACCACCTTTTTTGTGGTACTGTACAGTGGACACCTAGAGGCAGATCAGTCGTCACCTCGAATGTTCAGTTTTTCTCTTTCAGTCTGATTTTTGTGTGTGTGTGTCAACTGGAGTTTCATCCAAAATACATGCGTTAACAGTGCTGTCTTTGATAATGTCTGTTTTTCTATCACCTGTTCTGTCGTCTTGCAGAATTTTTCTTTAGTGACAGGTTTTGCCTGGTGGTTAAGGTGTTTTTATATGTATATTGAGTAATGCAGACAATCTGCTTCCATTGTAGCAAATGTGTAATAGAACTGAAGTTAACGTAGTAGACTAAGTTCTCCTGGGAGGTGGCTCGCCCTCGTGCTGTGTTGCTAGTACCCCAGTTCAGGAATGCATCTCTATTTAATACAAGTACTTTCCTGCATAGAGGACTCAGAACTGAGCAAGAGGAAAAACCTGAAGTCACTGTGGGCACCTTTGCCCTGGGCGGGGTAACCAGATGACTTACATCTGCTGCCCTTTAGGTTCTTCCTACTCAGAGCACACATGCTTGTAAAATACACTATGATTTGCTTCACCTGTTCCATCGGAATTCATTTTTCACAGCTTGACCCCTTGTAAGTATAATATGAGTAAACAACCAAGGGGCCTTTGTTCCGGGTACCGACCTTCATCATAGAGGAGGTGTTAAAATTAGCTACAAGCCGGGGGCTTGAATTTCTACAGACAGTGATGAGTACTGAGAATGATGATATAGTCCACCCATCCCATAATGCATGGTGGGCTGGCCTGTGACATGGAAAGAGAAGATTTTACCCATGCTGCTTAGTTGGGTTAAGTTGGGGCTCCTCCCATGATGGCATTAACCTTACACAAATGCTAGCAGGTAACACGTGAATTCTGTTTGTTCTGTTTGATACGAAAGTTTTTGCCATGCTAACCCAAGTTTTGTGTTGTCATTCTGTTGTGAGGGGTCCATGCTTGTGATATGGTGTCCTGAGGATGCTTCCCTCTGATCAGTCAGAGTGTACTTAACGGGGAAAGTTCACTATGGTGTCTGTGAATAGCTCAGGCATGCACCGAGATCTGCAAGCTGTGTCCTTAAAGGCTTAAAGGAAGACAGTGGTTCCAAAGAAGAAAAAGCCTATGTTTCCTCCCTGGGGAGTTAGTCTCAGGCATTCATTAATAGAGCAGAACAGAGAGAAAAAGGAAAGTAATAACGTCTCAGTGTTATTTTAATTAGTATTGATTCCTTGCTCAGTCAGGTCCTCTTTATTAAGAGGGCACATCACCTCTTCCCCTGGAGCTCCTTTTCTACAGACAGTGTGTAACACACTGTTCCTCTGCCCTTTCACCTCCCCTTACTATGCAATTGATGTCTTTTCTGTGCTCCAAAAACTAAGACCAACAATGAGAGAGAGAGAGAGAGAGAGAGAACTTTTTTCCAGCAATGTCTCAATGTCTGAAATTGTCCACCATATATCCAGCAAATGGTGATGCCATTCTCTTATAGGGTATGTCTACACTAGCCCCCTAGTTCGAACTAGAGAGGCTAATGTAGGCATTCGAAGTTGCAAATGAAGCCCGGGATTTAAATATCCCGGGCTTTATTTGCATCTTCCCGTCCAGCCGCCATTTTTAAATCCCCTTAGTCCGAACTAACTGCCCGCAGCTACACGCGGCAGTCAAACCTTAACTCGAACTAAGAACTTAGTTCTAGTTAACTGTTACACCTCATTCCACAAGGAGTAACAGTTAATTCGAACTAAGGACTTAGTTTGAATTAACATTTCACTGCTGCATGTGTTCGGGCTAGTGAAATTTCAAAATGGCGACCGGATGGGAACATGCAAATAAAGCCCGGGATATTTAAATCCCGGGCTTCATTTGGAACTCCCGTCACCTCATTTGCCTACCTACCTCGAATTAACAAACTATTGTAGACATACTGTTAGAGATAAGTAGTCTGTGCTTGCCAGCAATAGAAGTGGACGCCCATGAGGTTGTATGATTTTTGGGTGCTTTTCAGCGTGGTTCTTGGGAGATTTGTAACATCATGAGAGTCCATGAATGTCTTTATTTTATGGGTTCCCAGGTTATTCTACCTGATCTCGCTGTCCTGAGAATAGCAGTTTATGATGACAACAACAGACTGATTGGCCAGAGGATCCTGCCTCTTGATGGCCTTCAGGCAGGCTACAGACACATTTCCCTTCGAAATGAAGGCAACAAACCACTGTCTCTGCCTACAGTTTTCTGCAACATTGTCCTCAAAACATACGTTCCTGATGGGTTTGGAGGTAAGATGAACAGTTACACTGCATTTTTTTTTTTTTGTGAATCTCAGCTTTTAGAATGCAAAGGATAAAAATGAATTATGCAATAGAAAATAAGTAAGTATGCAATAAAAAATAAGTGCACTGGACAAATGTTAGATATTTAATCTGTAGGAAAGTTTTTATATCTTGTTAAGGTATCTTTACTTTTGCCTCTAATGATAACACTAACAAGAGTGTAGCCTTCCCAAATCACAATATAGAACAGTGATTTATACTGTAGTTTAGAAAGAAACAAAGCTAGAATTATATTTCCCAGGGTTATCTGAATTTGATCTTGTTCAATTTGCCAGTGCTTAATCTTTTTTAGAATCTCTTAATTTCCTTAGAAAGATCTCATTTGGATATATTAACTGAAGTAAATGTCTAAATTAAACATGCATTGTAGTTTAATAATCTAGAGTGCAAACAAGATGCCACTGTCTGCAGGGAAGCAGCGTTAACCACCATTGTTGTGCTACTGGGGATATAGATTAGGTAGCAACACAACTATCGCAGAATGGCAGAAGACCATGGATGTTCTTGTTTGTTTATATATATTTTAGTTGCCCTACGTCATCTTATTGTCAGACTGCAGGTGGGTGTACCGGGCAATTTCTATTCTCAGTAAGTATTTGCCATTGAGAAATTTTTTTCAGGTGATTTGAAATATGCTCCGGTATGGAGCATGGACCATGGGCCTCCTGTATGCTACTTAAGACCTCAAAGTAAGGCTCACAATGGATTTTAAGTGGTCCATAGGCCTTTGTTGTATCCTTGTGCACAGATGTGAACATCACCCTCAAAAACAATGAGGAGTCCTGTAGCACCTTAGAGGCTGTTTGTGTCTGAGGTTGTCAGCCGACGGTCAGGGCAGTGAGTCCCTTATGACCGGCTGAAGTTCTTTAAATTGTGCTTGGTTCTGTTATAGCAACTGAAGGAGTCAGGTTAAAGCTTAAACAGTTACTATTTATTGTTACAGGGTAAACTTAGTTGTTAAATGCTACTACTGTGTTACAGATAACACAGACACTACAAAGGACAGGACAGAAATTACACTAATAAGTCACTTACAGGTACCATGAAACCCTTTGGTTCTCTGAGCTCTTATTAAATGCATGCAAAATAGACACATAGCAGGTATATATTCTCACCCCTGCGTTCCAGACTTGGCGTGGCCAGCGTCTTTCTCTCAATCCCTCGGGAAGAAGTAGGGCGAGGTTGGGCGTCCCACAGACCTCGGGAGACAATCAATACCTGCAGGTGTAGGTGTTTGGAGCTCAAAGGGGGTGGGCTACTAAACCCCTCTTTATACCCCTTGGGTCATGTAGGCTTCTTCCTGGGCTCAAGTGGCCATTAAGGAAAAATGGCTTTGAATGCCAAGTTTCCCACGAAGGGTGCAAAGCATAATTTACACCTGGGAAAATGCAGACAATGGGCACCTCTGGTATGTGATGGGCGAAGATTCCTCTCCTGGGACAGTGCAGGCGTGTCAATTACTGGTACTAGCCATCAGGGCGACAGGAGGCCCCGGGTCGTCAGCTAGCCCATTTACTGTCTGGTTTCTGTTTATGGTAGAGTCAGGGACAGGCAGCAAACCTGTGTTCCCAGGGCATCAAAGGCTGACTGCCTTTCTCTTGCTCCTCGTTTGGGGGGGGGGGGAACAAGATGGGGTTCGTGGAAAAACAAGATGGGGTGTGTGTCTGGCTACAGAGGTGCCGTAGGATTCCTCGTTTTTGCAGATACAGACTAGCACGGCTGCCTCTCTGAGACTTTTCACCCCCAAAGAGATTTTGGGAAACCTCATTGGAAAAATTATTTTTTTGCTCTTTATAAAATTAATTCAAAATATGAAGGTTACTGAGTTTAGTGCAAAATAAAATACAGGACTATGTAGCACTTTAAAGACTAACAAGATGGTTTATTAGATGATGAGCTTTCACTATTTTCTTCCACTATTTGATCTGAGGAAGTGGGTCTGGCCCATGAAAGCTCATCATCTAATAAACCATCTTGTTAGTCTTTAAAGTGCTACATAGTCCTGTATTTTGTTTCAGCTACACCAGACTAACACGGCTACATTTCTATCACTATAGTGCAAAATAGTTAGTGCAACTTTCATGTAGATTGGATTTTCAGTAGTAAAAGAGAGAGAGAGAGACTGTTAAAGGGTCTATTTTTAGCCAAATATATTTTTAAATATATACACACCATTTGTTAGTATTTACCACCAAGCTTTAAAAAGAAAACATTAGGTCCTGGCTTTTGGGACAGCTCTCATGCCTAAAATTCAGCATATGCATAAATGTTTGAAGAATCAGGGCCTTTGATGGCAAAAATGATAAGTTACCCGTTTACTCCCACTGACATCAGTGAGATGTTTTCCATTGATTTGATTGTTCCCTGTTTTCATGGAATCAGCTTTAACCAACAGTTTTTAGCACGAAGGCCCCCAATTCAGAAAAGAACTTTAGCATGTGCTTCATTCAATGCTGTTATATTCAGCATATAAGCACATGCTCACAGTATTGTTCTGAATCAGAGTGAGTTTCTAAATTGGGACCATGCGTTTTGTAAAGTTCTGGAACCCACTTATAACGGATATATTTATGAATGAGATCAAATGTATAAACAAAGATTTCCATTTGAAATTGCAGCTTAGCTAAAGTGGGACATACATAAATTCCGATGAGTTTCCTATTTACTGTTCAATCTGCAGAATTTTGGGGTTGTTTTTTTTAAGAATTTACTCTTCACACTAGGGATGTTTGAGTGCAAACGACTAACCATTTAACCGATAAATGGATGCTTATCACTCAGTTACCGGTGTTGGTTACACTGAGCAAAGCTGCTTTCCCAGGAGCCGGGTGGGTCAGGACTGCCTGTTCTGCTCACAGGGAAGAGACTTTGCTACTGGCTTTGCTCCTGGGGAGGAAGCTTCGCTGCCACAGCAAATGCTCAGTGTCGCTTGCTCTGCTAAATTGCCAACATTTCAACAGATGCTTTGTCTGTAAGATGTCAAGACATTAAAAAATAATGTTCCCCCCTCCCCCCACGTAGTTTCATCATTAGAGTGAAATATTGCTAGGGTCAGGAAACTATATGTGATTTCTTGTTGCCTATGTGTGCTAATGAGAACTAAAGAAGCTCAGTTATTATTTCTCATTTCCCAAACACTGTCATTTTTGACCTGTCACCCATTATATTTTCCTCACTGATATGGAGCAGTAGCCTGATGACCAAAAGAGACTTGAGATGTTGCTTTTGATGTCCAGAAGGCATCACTACTATTACATTTGCCTGTGGGACTTGAGTGCTTGTCATCTGCTCTGTCTTTTACATTTGTTTTATCAACTACAATTAGTATTTTAAATTGTTTAGTTAAAATATCAAGAATCCCAATTTTGAACTGCTTTCTTTTTTTCCCTGTAGGAGTAAGATTTAGGAACGTCTCTCATGCCAAATAATAATGATTAGCATTGCTTCATATTAGGGTTAGGAAAAGCATGCACCGTTTTGGGTTTGGGTTTTTTTCACGTGGTTTGCTAGTTTTCTGTGAGCTGTTTCAGTTCTCTTGTTCTTAATGACCACAGTACACAATACCGGTCTGAATAAATACAAAATGGGCAGCAGAGTTTAAAAAGAGGCTTTTGTGATATATAGAGCGTGTACATAAGTAAGCACTAACATAGAGAGAGTGTACATAAGTAAGCATTATGTTATGTTATGTTATGTTATGTTATGTTATGTTATGTTATGTTATGTTATGTTATGTTATGTTATGTTATGTTATGTTATGTTATGTTATGTTATGTTATGTTATGTTATGTTATGTTATGTTATGTTATGTTATGTTATGTTATGTTATGTTATGTTATGTTATGTTATGTTATGTTATGTTATGTTATGTTATGTTATGTTATGTTATGTTATGTTATGTTATGTTATGTTATGTTATGTTATGTTATGTTATGTTATGTTATGTTATGTTATGTTATGTTATGTTATGTTATGTTATGTTATGTTATGTTATGTTATGTTCCAGGGCCAGCACTCCCCATGCACCGTGCACCTGGGGCCAGCACTCCCCGTGTGCTACGCGCCCGGGGGCGGGGCCACCCATGCACCCGGGGCTGGCGCCGCACATGTGCTGCGTGCCCAGGGTGGGGCTGGCCCCGAGCACTTGGCGGGCGCATGTAAATGCCCCAGCAGGCGCCATGGCACCCACAGGCACCGCATTGGGGACCACTAGTCTAGACGGTACTGGGTCCTGCCATGGGGGCGGGGGACTGGACTCGATGACCTCTCGAGGTCCCTTCCAGTTCTAGTGTTCTATGATTCATTTGTGTTGTGAGTTCTGTGTCTATAACATATGCTTTCTAGGGTTACAGTGGTTATACACAACTTTGTTGTTGTTGAACTCACAGCTTCAAAAGTTTTTAGTATTCAATCACCTTACCAAAAAGACCATAAAAAAAGGAAAATTTAAGCATAGGACAAGTGGTGGGGTGGAAAGAATGGTGAATAATTTACTTCCAAAAGAAACTTTGAGCCTTTGATGAGGTTTATAAATGATTGATAACACAATTTGCAAAGGTTTCACACTCCCACACACTTAAGGAGCTTGCTTTTTTTTTTTTTTTTTAAGTTCTTGAGATTCAAGGTCCATTTTCAAATACTGTGTCATGGTTGGAGGATCGAGGCAGGCATGGATTTTTGTTAAAGGGTAGGATCTAGGGACTGGAAGGGCAGCTGGCTCAGTTAGAGGAGAGGGAAAATACTCAGGGTGCTGGGACCATTATGTGCTTGGGAGAAAGCTATGCCCATTTCATATCTGTTGGACAAGTGAGGAGAGAGGATACCAGTTGGTGGGCAATAGTGGAACAGTCTATTTTAGGCAGGCCCACCGACAGTGTGGGGGAAAGGGGACAGCTGCCCTGGGGTCTTGCGATTGCTTGCCCGCTGCCATTCTAGTGCAGTAGTGGCTAGAGCACAGGCCTCTTTAATTCACCACTGGAGCACCGTGCACGATGTCCCAGGTGGTGCTGAGGGCTGGGAGGGAGCGTGTCGTGGTCTAGGCAGTGCTGAAGGTTGGCTGCTTCCGTCCCCACCCTGTCCAGGAACACGGAGCTGGCCCCCCCCACACACACACTTTGCCCTGGGGCTCAGACAGGCTGTTCTCTCCCCTGCTTTCAGGTGGTTAACTGAGCTGTCTAGGTAAAAACAAAATTATTTAATGCAACTTACATATCTCGTACAAACATACTGATCAAGTAGATACTAAGAACAGAGGGTCTGATTGTTCATTTTTGACTTGGGCAAAACTTCCAGTAACTTCAGAGGGATGTTTGCCTGCATAAGGACTGCAAGATTATCCCCCAAATTCTAACTGGTTCATAGTTTTTTTTTCCTGGACTAGTGTATGCATCCCTAGTCTTGTTCTTTATCTATGACATCACAACTAGTTACTTTGAAAATAGCCATTATATGACACACAATTCTGGTATGTGAAATAACATTCAGATTTGTATAAAAACCTTGACTGCTGAAAGCATCACTTTAGAAGTACAGCGCTGTTTTACTAAGACTATCTGGAATTCACAACCAAAGAATGGTTCTTTACTATAAGCAACCAGAAGATGGGTTACTTTTTAAAATCACAATATTCTGTATTTAAAAAAGTCCACCATGAACATGGTATTGTGTCTGAGGGGAAGTAGTCAAACTCACGACTTTCCTTCCAGCGTGTGAGGAAGGGGTTAGTTGTATTTTATCTGAATAATCAGTTGTGTTCCTCCAGAATACAGTAAAGTTAGAATATCATCCATGATGACTCTCATGATGTCCATAATAAGAGTGCAGGCATATTCTGTACAATAGTGAATGGTTGAATCAGGATATAGCTTTTAGATAAGAGAATGGATTTCTGTGTGATACTTCTTCATCTCTAAGGCCCATTTAGTATTAATTTATTTAAAACTAGCAGAAATACCTGGTGTTGCCCGGGGAAAATATAGTAAAAGGTGTGATGAATGAACTACATTAATGACATTAACATAGCATATTTTATTGGAAATACTTTTCTCTTATATATATTATATATATAAAAGTTGACAGCGGGGAGTGCAATTCAATTACTGCTAAATTATTGTCAAGTCAAGAAAATTTATTTGTAAAGAGCTGTTTTTACATATATATATATAAATGTCAGCTTACATTGTAAGAACATTTATTTATTTATTTATTCCACGATTTCTTGAGGAACCCCTGACGATGGTCTGCGGAACCTCAGGGTTCCGCGGAACCCCGGTTGTGGAAAACTGACTTAAATCATCAAAAAGGTGCTTCCTGATTCAATAACCCTGCATAAAACACTATATGGGACAAGGTGAATGTTTTCCATGACTGGCAAGGGAGTCAGGGATACTTGCTGTTCATACCATTCTGTAAATGTGCATGGCCCTGTGCAGTAGTTAAACTATAGCAGCTCCAAAGGCTTGCCCTGGTGAGCCCTCAGCAATTTTAATATCATGCCTGTGGGTGTGAATAGTAAAACTCCTGTTTTCTTCAGTGATTCATAATCAGGTCTCCGTTCAGCAATGTACTCAAGTGTGTGCCTAATTTGAAAGACAGTGGTTTTACTCACGTCACTAGGACTTTCCTTGTGCTTCAAATTAGGCATGAGTTTAGGTACCTTGTTAAACCAGGATCTAAATACACACATGGATGCAGTGCATGCAGGGTTAATAAAAGAGAACACTCCTTATAGCTGAGATGCTTTTAAGAAAAGGAAGGGGGTTTATTAAGGTTTTTTTGACACAGTTAAGAGAAGGCAGAAGGTACACAGCTTCACTATTGGAAAAATAGTTATGTAGGGGTACGAATCACAAGCAGATAAGAGTGGAAAGTGATTTCACAATCATTATCTGGTAGCTGTCAGCAGAACCACTCAGATGAAGGGAAGAAGAAAAATAATCTAAAATGAGCTTTTTCTACACCCAGCAATTTTCTGTGCATTTTGTCCCTCTCCTGCTCTTTCATAGCGGATGTGTGGGAGGGGAAACAGAAGGAGATGTTCACACAAAACTTTGCCTGTAGGACTTAGATTCTTTGCCCACAATTGGGTCTGTCCCTGTCCCTCTCTCAGTTGACAAAAATAACCTGTGAGTTCTGTTAAGGGGTTCATGCTTGAATGCTTGATCCATTGTAAGGTTCATCACTACTTAAAATCAGGCCGGGGTGGGGCGGGTCTGCTCCCCACACTTTTAAGGAGCAGGAATTCTTCTGTCGGTATGCTCCAACCAGAAGGGCTTTAAGAGCAACAGGGTCACAACACAATCCTAATTTACTAATTGATTTATGTCCTCTTTGTTGCATCCCAGACTTGGGCCTTGGCAAGGTGAGAGGGATGAGCAGTAGTGCTGACATGAACCATACAGGAGGAAATCTATAAATAAAATATGTCACTTGTACTATTGTTTTAGACATCTGTATCAGTCAGTTAGTTCCCTTCACCTATAAACCATGGAAAAGTTCAGATCTGTTTGTGTGAAGGCATTTTTTTTTCTTCTAAACTGATAAGCATGCCCTTTGGCAACCAAGAGAAAAAATTCAACCAATGTCTGAAGGAAGACAGTGTGGCCTAGTGGAATGATTACTGACCTGGGATTCAGAAAACCTGGGTTTTGTTCTTGGCTCAGCCACCGGCTGTCTGATGACCATGGGCAAGTGACATTGCTCTGTGCCTCGGTTTCTCCTCCATTTGTAAAATAAGAACAATGCTATGGCTCACCTTTATAAAGAACTCTGAGCTCTGCTAAATTGTTGTTATGGCCTGCTCAAAAGCCTTCTGCATAGAAGTCTTTCCATAGATTTCGCAGGGCTTTAGATTAGGCCTTTACTCAACTTGTGCCTAAATTCTCCACCTTAAAATGGAAATAATCATATTCCCAAGCCCATAACTAATAGGAGTATTGTAATGGCAAATCCATTAACGTTCCTCATGCTCACATACACTGTAGTGATGCGGGCCATATAAATAAATGGCAGATAAAATGATTGGAAAGAGTTGGATTCTTTTTTGGGGGAGAGAAGGGGAGGGAGATTCACATGATGGTTATTGTGCTTTTTGGCTGATCCAAGGTAGAACTAGAGTAACCTTGAAATGTAAATTTCGTTTTCTGGAATCAGAGAGGATGCTGAGCTGATATGTATAATGATCATGACATTTTTATCTCCTTTTCTCTGCCCAGGGAGAATGAGAGAGTAACTTAAGTAAAAAGCTTACCCAGTCCTACCAAGCTGTCTATGAAAATTTGGCCCAGTGTTGTGGACTGTGGGACATGTGACAAGAATAGAATAAAGCCTTTGTGAAAACTGAATGGCATTGTGCTTTCTGATTGACTCTGAAAAGGTTGAGAAAGTGATAAACATTCGATCTTCTTTCAGATATTGTGGATGCTTTGTCAGATCCAAAGAAATTTTTATCTGTCATGGAAAAAAGAGCAGACCAGATGAGAGCTATGGGTATTGAAACTGTAAGTAAAAATTCACTATGAACATAGGCAAAATAATTTCATATAGTGGACAATGCAAAATACAGGCTACACTTTACAAGACACAATATCACTGCAAAGAGTTTTTGGACTACAACGTTTGGTCAGTTCTCCCACTGATAAATTGTTATTGCAAGTTATTTTCTTGGAGTACATCTACATTGAACAGCTATTTTGGGATACCCCAGGTATCCCGAAATAGCTACCCCACGTCAACACAAGCCATTATTTTGAAATATTTTTTTAAATAACAGGCATGCTATTTCACCATTCCAACAAACCTCGTTGAATGATGGATAAGGGATGGCTCGAAATAGTGCATTATTTCTAAATTTGGTGCTGTGTAGACGCGCCAAATTTCAAAATAGCCTATTTCAAAATAGATTCGAGATAAGATGCACAATTTGCATAGCTCAAATTGCGTTTCTTATTTCAAGTTTAAGGTGTTGTGTAGACGCAGCCTTTGTCATTTTTTCAAATAGAAATCTCTTGTAGTCTTAAATACATGGATACGTGTTGCCAGATTTATTAAAATAGCCTTCCCTGCATTCCCAAATATAGTCACAAACATGAGGAAATTTTTTCAGTCATGGCAGCACATTCATGTATCTAATATTTAAAAGGAGCCGTCCTTATTAATTTTCAGGAAAAAATAGGTTATACGATCTTTGTTTGAAAATAATATTTGAAAACCTATATATGGGGAATTTTCTTTAAAGTAAAACACTTCATTTCTCTTCCCCCTGCAAATGATATTATGTAATAATGCTTTTTCCAGAGTGATATAGCTGATGTACCAAATGACACCTCAAAGAATGATAAGAAAGGAAAAGCTAATAATGCAAAAGCAAGTGTGACTCCTCAGAGCAGCTCTGAACTTAGACCATCTACCACTTCTGGCCTTGGACCTGGGATGGAAACTAGGAAAGGTAAGGGGAAAAGAGCTTTCTCTCCTTTAAATGGTTTAGACGTGTGCTAAGAAGTCCTACCTCATTGTTTTTTAGTCTTGTACTTCCTATTGCTTCTAATCCCACAGGGAAGCTCAAAAAATAAGATTTTACTAATGGTGTCTCTGTCCACTTGGCAAATACTGTTTTATGCACATGTCTGTTGGCACAGAAGCCAACATGGTTGGATTTTATTAAATATCATGCTGATGCACCAGTGTAGTCAATGCCATCAGCAAGTATGCACAGCACTGGGAACGATGTTTATTAATGATCTGCCTGAGTCAGGCTAGTAGGGAAACCTGTCCTCTTGTATACTTAATAAAAATTCTTTTGTTTTTAAAATCCTAAGCAGAGTGGTTGATTAATTAAAAAAAAACCCACAAGTATTTAGGATTCTGCAAGGAATCTCCCATCAAATTAGAAATGTTTTAAGGTGTGGCCATACTCTGAAAAGTATCTACAAAATTGGAATTGAGGGCATCCATGTTAAATGATCAAATATTTCCCTATCAAATGAGCTCAGGTTATGAGCAGATAGGTGTGTTTTCATAACTGCTTGTCCTGCAAAATCATTGAGATTCAAATGGGTTCTTTCTCTCTCATACATCATCACAGATAATAGCAGGCCCGTGAAGCCAAATAGGTTTACACAGGTATTATTGAGTGAAACTTGGTAATGTGCCAGAAGGAATAGAATTCAGCTCATTCTCTCGTATCTCCTTGGCTTTGCAGAGATAATTGGAGTAAAAGTAAAACTTATTTTTTGGCAAGAAATTTAGCAGGTAGGGCTGAATACACACCAATAAGTAGAGCAGTTAGAAAAGAAGGTGCATTTCTATACTGTCACTTTTCAGAGTAAAGCAGCTCATGTTTGGAATCTAACCTGCTTCATTTTCCCTCTGACAGTAAAACAGTCTGTTTGTGAATTGAGATACTATGATATAAATATAAAAATAATGACATTGAATTGTAATATTCATATTTCATTAGAAAACTGTTGTAGTAAACTTATTGTCTGTTAATTAAGAGCATGTGTGTGAATTCAGTTACTAGTCTGAGGAAATAGGTTTTCAGGCTGGTTACCACAGGGCTGGAGCACACAAAATCTACTAGGCTGGGCCTCCCTAGGTTATGATGCGTGAGGAGAATGTGAAGAGAGCCTTTTTCCTTCTCAGTTGGGGGCCACATCAGTAAGGGTTGGGGGGGGCTTCCCCTCACTTGTAAGCAGCCCCAGACTGATTTTCTTTGGGTCAGTGTCCCCCCCATGCTAAAAAGGTTCCACAGCCCTGGAATAGAGAGTATATTGTGGACAATAGAGAGTTTGTGGATGATACCAAGTTGGGAGGGGTTGTGAGAATAGGATTAAAAATTCAAAATGATCTGGACAAACTGGAGAAATTATCTGAAGTAAATAGGATGAATTTCAGTAAGGAAACATTCAGAATATTCTGCTTAGGAAAGAACAATCAGTTGCACACATACAAAACAAGAAATATCTGCCAAGGAAGGAATGCTGCAGGAAGGGATCGGGGATCATAGTGGATCACAGGCTAAAAATGAGTCAGCAGTGTAATATTATTGCAAAAAAGCCCTCAACTGGAGTACTGTGTCAGGAAAGATGTGGACAAATTAGAGAAAGTCCAGAGACTAGCAATGAAAATGATTAAGGGTCTAGTAAACATGATTGGTGAAAGAAGACTAAAAAAACTGGGTCTGAGTCTGAAGAAAATCTTAAGAGGGGAAATGGAAACAGTTTTCAAATACATAAAAGACTGTTATGAGGAGGAGGGAGGTCGAGTGTTCTCATTAACTTCTGATGATAGGACAAGAAGCAATGGGCTTAAATTTCAGCAGTGGCAGCTTAGAGTGAACATTAAGTTCCAGGGCAGTTAAGCTCTGGAATAAATTGCCTAGGAAGGCTGTGGGAGATCCATCAGTGGAAATTTATGAGAGCAAGTTAGACAAAAACCTGTCAGAGATGGTCTAGATCAGTGGTTCCCAACCTTTTTCCCATGAAGGAACTCCTACAATAATTTTTCATATCCCAAGGAACCCTACCTATGAAAATGTTTGCTTGGCCAGAAAAAGTTGACAGCGGGGAGCGCAATTCAATTACTGATAATTTTTTTCAAGAAAATGTTTTTGTAAAGAGCTGTTTTATTTATATATATATATATATGTGTGTGTGTGTGTGTGTGTGTGTGTGTGTGTGTGTGTGTGTGTGTGTGTGTGTGTGTGTGTGTGTGTGTGTGTCCTTTAATGTCAGCTTACATTGTAAGAAAAAAAATTGGAGCATTTTTCCTGTCTCTCTTTCTCTTCTCCTCCTCCTCCTGCCTCTGGGTACGTCTACACTAGCCCCCTAGATCGATCTAGGGAGGCTAATGAAGGCAACCGAAATTGCAAATCAAGACTGGGATTTAAATATCCCATGCTTGATTTTCATGTTCCTGGCTGGTTGCCATTTTAGAAATTGACTAGCCCAAAGTAACTCCCCGCGTCTGCACGAGGCAGTGAAACGGGATTCCGATTTAAAGCCCCTAAATTGAATTAGCTGGTAAACCTCATTGCAGAAGATCCATCTAGGGGGCTAGTGTCGACGTACCCTCACTCTCTCTTTCTCTTCTCCTCCCCCTCCTGCCTCACTCTCTCTTTCTTTTCTCCCCCTCCTGCCTCTCACTCTCTCTCTGTTCTCCTTTGTCTCCGTCGGGATGCACGCTTGTCCAGGCCCCATCCCCTGGGCGTGTATGTCACTGCCCTGCCCCCATTCACCTCCCGCTTCTGCTTGCTCCCATGCGGCGGCCCAGCTGAGCGGCGCAGAAGTCCCCGCCCGCTTGTGCTGCTTGCTCCCACGCAGCGGCCCGTCTGAGCAGCACAGAAGTCAGCCGGGCACCAGGGCGGGAGGCAAAGGGCATGACAGATTCTCCAGGCCCCGCCAGCATTATATATTCCACGATTTCTCACGGAACCCCTGATAATGGTCCGCGGAACCCTGGTTGGGAAACACTGGTCTAGATAATACTCAGTCCTGCCATGAGTAGAGGGGTCTAGACTTGATGACCTCTTGAATCCTACACTTCTAAGAATCTGTGATTTTTATGTCCATAAGAGGGCTTCTCTCATCAACAGAGCTACTGACTCTTCCAAGGTGGGTTGACTTCACTGACAGACGAAGCTCTCATGTTGGTGTACTAGCCTTTTCACTGAAGTGTAGCAGTGGTACAGCTAAACCATTTCAGTGTTTTAACTGTACACCGACCCTAAGGTAGTTAATTAAATAAACAGAATGTAGTATATTAGCGACTGACCCAACATTGTATGTAAGAATTAAAGAGGGTCTTGACAGTGAGATTTTCTCAAGGGACCCCATTGACTATGGCTTTGTAACTGAAAGAATGTTAAGGTCTGACAGTAAAAACAGTATTTGCCAGAACCTAAAGAAAGGTAAATTGTGAAATTGCACAAATAGTCTGCTCTGTTTCTGAGCAAGTGATTTTGACATATTCTTGCCTTGCTTTTGTTTGACACTCAAGCTGGAAAGGAAAGGAGGTTGGAATTCAGCTCTAGTTTTATTTTCTTCTTACACCAATAAAATGATGGATGGTACAATGCTGTTGAAAACAAAATTAAATATACCTTTTCCATGTCTCTCCATAATTACATTGTTTTTAAATGGAACTCGGGTGTTTGTTTATGTTATACATTTTAATATGAAATGCATTAATTACTATCTAACAAATATAAGTTGTGGTGAAATTAAATACAAAAACTGATATGTACTAATGTGTCTGAAGTTCTAGATAAAATGTATTGATGCCTTCTAGGTATAGAACTTATTCCTCAAGTGAAGATAGAAGATTTAAAACAAATGAAGGTAAGTTCGGGCATAAACTTTGCAAGATGATATATACATTTGCAAACAGCAAGATTTTATCTGGCATCAGTCATTATGACAACAGGAAAATTGATCCAAGTTCCTTTTTTTGTAGGCTTACATAAAGTATTTAAAGAAACAACAGAAAGAGCTGACTGCTTTAAAGAAGAAGCATGCCAAGGTATGACAATTAGAGTTCCAAGGGCCAAAGCTGAATTAAGCTACCCAGTCTCAGCTACGTCAATTGTGTAGCTGAAGTCGAAATAGCTTAATTTGGCTTTTAGCACTGGCTGCACAGCAGGAAGTCAAAGGAAGAACTTCCCTTACTCCACGTGAAATGAGGGCTACCATGAGTTGGAGTAAAAATGTCGAGCTGGAAGACTTATTTCGAAATAAAGGCTTGTAGTGTAGACGCGCACTGCATTATTTCGAAATATCATTAGTTATTCTGAAATAATGCTGCTGTGTAGACATAGCCTAAGAGTTTGGGGAAACACACCTCACACACAAGTTTACTCCCTTTATTTAAAAAAAAGTCAAATCGTTCATAACCATAAACAGAATGTAATGATAGTCAATGGGAAAACTAGGGATAAGTAAATTGGGTTAGCAACAAGTAGATATTTATTTTAGCCTGCACTAAGGACATCCTTCAATAGGCACTATTTCCCTTGAGAACTTTTGAATATCCCTTCAGCTTCCTGCACAATTTTGTTTGATTTCTGTAAAGAGCAAAAGATCACCCTTACTAGGTACTGGTTTCTGCTAGCCTCTTAGATAATTGTTTCTAAGTGTTATGGAAAATTTTGAGAATTAGGTAGATGAAATATGCTGTATCAAAGACAAAGAGTGTAGGAGTTGCGTGGAAAGAAAATGTAGGTGGAGAGAGTAGATGAAAAATTAGATCCTCTCTTTGTTCTGTGTATAATAATTACAGTGTGGGTAGTCACCTTTTGCTTGATATTATTAGCAGTAGTGTCCAATTTATTGGTCCCCTACTACTGTGTTTCATAGCATAATATGGCATGCACAGTTCCCTCCCTCCCATACTCATAGTATGTCCCTAATTATGCCTGGTATGACAGGAAACATAACAAGTGAAGAAAGTACCAAGATTCTGAATTTGGTCCCATACTGGCAGCATAGAAAAGCACCACATGGCTTTATCGTCAGTCATGTCCTTGTTATTAAGTAAGTGTTCTTTGATATCTTTGGAGTCATATGCTGAGGATTCATTTTCATTGCCTGCTTGGATTGATAGATGTGGCTGACCAATTGTAGTGTCTGAAGTTTCATCAGAACCTGCAGCAGCATCTTTTTCCAGAAAAGCCCTTGTGTTTATCTTCACAACCGTAGCTGGGCTGGTAACTATCAGAGAACTAATAATAACATTAAGCACTTTTAATACAAGGCTTTTCATCTTCAAAGCACTGTATTAAAATTAAGTAATTAAATCTGAAGGCCCCCTCTCTCCCTCCATGAAAGACGGAAGTAAACACAAGTTGAACCTTTCTAATCCAGAACTCTCTCATCTGGAAACATCCATCGTCCAGAATGATTTTAGTTAGTCAGATTTCCAGTTTTCATGGGTGTGGCCAAGTTTCCCACAGTCCCATAAAGTTTGTTTACAGGCACCAGTCCTAGCTCTCAGTGTTCTGTGCTGTTATTTAGCTTGAATTTACCCCTAAATGTCTTCTAAGAGCCCAGGAAGCAGCAGAAGTGTTGATAATGCTGCTAGACAATACTGACCTCTTGTGGTCCAGAAAATTCTCTCATTCGGAACGAGTCAGGACTTGTGGGTGTCAGACTAGAGAGGTTCAACCTATATTATTCTTTTACAGAAACTGAATTTGTGAATATCCAGAGTCACAGTAAATTCAGTTTTAAGAGCCAGAATTAGTACTTCTGTCCTGTGATGATGGGCACCCTTCAAGTATCTGAAATATACAGAATAGATCATGGGTCCCTAAACTCTTAGGTAGGGAGGGCCTCACCTTAATAGAATGTGTATCTCTTGGACGCCTGTTGGCCATTTGCAATCCATTATGTTATCTTCTCCCCCATGTGGGATTACACATCATTCCTGTGACAACTGCAGCTATAGTTTGCACAGAAAAGTAATATTAGGAAATCATTTGATGTATTTTTAGCTGTCTTATAATGCAGTGTGGCAGCTTTAGGAAGGAGGAGAGAGACATGACGTCTGCCAGCCACGATCAGCTAGAGAAACTCTGCATTATTGGACTCACTGAATCCAAGAACTACAGTACTGCCCCACCTTTGGAAGCTCCTGGCCTTGAGCCTCCTAAATTTGGAGGAACACATAATATAAAGAAGATCGTTTTCTTTTGTTTTACAAAAGGTTTTCTCTCCCTTCTCCTTACAAAGATGGCCTTGAATGCACAAATTTATATGAACTAATTGCTGGCTTGACAAGAACAAGCAGCGAAGTTCCATTTTGGCAGTAGAAGGCCTACTACCAATCCATCCCCTTTCCTCTGCATGCTGCTTTGTATGTAAAATGAGTCCATTAAGTTTGTGTCAGGTCACACAAAGAAGCATTTAGCTAACCCTCCCCAAATTCCTTGGGCTCATTTGGTGATGTGATAATGGCATAAGTTATGTTGAAAATCTAGGGGGGGAAAAACACTTTTGTAGGTCCAACCAAAAGTTCCATAGCCAATCATGTTCCTGATTCTTAGTTCTGTTCTTAGACCTCTATTCTCCTCTTTCTAACTCCTGCTCTGCACCAGGGGAAAAATTGAAAAGTTTCCCATCATCCTAACATCAGTTCAACTGAATAAACAGAATGAAACATTGGGAACCCCCTAAATTATTCATACCACCGTGGTTTTCAGCACTGCGTTGTCTAGCCCCATTCAGACAGTGCCATCTGCCATTATGCTGGCTACCCTAGGGTTTCCAATACTGGTAACAATAGTCAAAGGCTCGGCTAAACAGTGGAGAAATTGTTAGCATCACTTCTGGGTTGATGATCAGCCACAGGAAGGTCTGGTGAGAGAGAGGGGCCTTGAAGGCTGAGGCAGGAATTGGGCACTTGGCAGTGTTAGTCTTTCTACTCTCTTCATGTAGCTGCTTTTTGAAAAACTAGAAAATTACAAAGCAAAAAGAAAGCTTGTTGGTAAAACTTTCAAAAGTGCCTCAGTGATCTGTGGGCCCATTGACTTGCAGTGAGTCTCTTCTCCAAAAGTCCCATTTGGAAAAGGGGCTTAGTTATCCAGATTACTTAGACACTTCTGAAAATGCCCCTCTGAGTCTCCTGTGTGCCATTTCCATTCAGAGGAATTCCAGTTAGAGGTAATTTTGATGTTGCAGCATGATGAATAGTGGGAGAATACCAGCAGAGCGGACTGATTCAGCTTTAGGGGACCCGACAGGGAAAAGACTGAGCAATGTACCTTTAATAAGTTTTCAACAGGTGTCTCTTTCACTCACAAAGCAACATTCATGTCTCTTTGGGTGTGTCTAAACTACATGGCTCCGTCAATGGAGCCATGTAAATTAGGCTGATCGGCAGAGGGAAATAAAGCCACAATTTAAATAATCGTGGCTTCATTTAAATTTAAATGGCTGCCGCACTCTGCCGATCAGCTGTTTGTCGGCAGATCGGGGCAGTCTGGACGCGCTGCTGTCGACAATGAAGCCTTTGTCAACCGGTGCAGGTATGCCTCGTGAAATGAGGTTTACCTGCGCCGGTCAACAAAGCCTTCCTTGTCGACAGCGGCGCGTCCAGACTGCCCGGATCTGCCGACAAACAGCTGATCATCAGCTGGTCGGCAGAGCGCGGCAGGCCATTAAATCTGCGCCGGTCAACAAAGCCTTCCTTGTCGACAGCGGCGCGTCCAGACTGCCCGGATCTGCCGACAAACAGCTGATCATCAGCTGGTCGGCAGAGCGCGGCAGCCATTTAAATTTAAATGAAGCCGCGATTATTTAAATCGCGACTTCATTTCCCTTTGCCGATGGAGCCATGTAGTTTAGACACGCCCTTTTACACAAAAGCAATGTTCCCTGCTTTTATTTTCTTTAAGTATAAATGCTTATCAGACTGCGTATTTCTAAAAACAGTGGTAGAAATATGTCAACAAAGAACAGATGCAAAAGTGTGTCTTGAAGTGAAGACCTCGTGTGTGTGCATGGGATAATAAATGGTTGAATAAAACCATGCTGTGTGTGTGTGGGAGTATGCTAACGAAAATGCACTGGTGGGGGTAAGTAGGAGTCGCACAGAAAACTGTCAGGGGTGGAAACCTTTCCTATGTTCCTGTTAACAAGAGGCTGAAACTCCAGACAGGAGAAATGAAAAAGGCACAATAATCTTCGAAGGAGCTATAAAAATATCTGTATGTTTTTCTTTAAAGACAACATGCCCGTTTATGTTTCATGTAAAATGTGTGGACTGTTGAAAATACAGCCAAGTCTGTTTTTTATACCTATGCTGTGAATTGTATACTAAGTAGGCAGGTACCTGGATCATATGAATTGCAGAAGCGTACCTGCTGAGTAACCTCAGAATTGGTAGCTGCTCATTTTCATAGCCCTTGATAAAATTAGAACGTCCCATTTTTCCTTAATATCAGAATAGCAGTTTTGCTGATGAATACGGATGTTTGGATTTGTGATGTTTGGGAGTGGTGAAGAGGAGAGATTTTATTCAGGGGATTATAAGCAATGCAGATGAGAAGTTTATATGCCAAGCTCTGCAAAGGCAAGATATTGCTTTTGAATACATCTTGATAATTTAGAAGAGGATTCAAAGGACTAGAGGAACAATAAGACATTAAAGCAGGAAAACAAATTGGAGGGAGGACAACTTCAGTGCTTCATCTCGATTGTGATGACAGGCCACACTTTTTGTCTCAGCTTCAGTCTGCAAAGGGACCTTTCAGTCTGACCAGCATTTTGATTGAAGTAGGGCTCTCTGAGTGCGCTCCTTGCACCTGAGATTGGAAGCTTAGTGCTAGAAGTGTCCATTAGTCTGTGGCTGTGCCATTCTCCTCCTCGTGCTTCAAACCAAGGTCTTACGGGATGTCAAGGACCCCAACTAACTCTTCTGGTTCTGTGCTACCTTCTGAGGTGTGAGAGAAAACCCATTCAAGTGTCCACAGTGCTTGTTAGCATTCTTCAAAAATCATAGTTAGTTATAAATAGTTTAAAACC